GGAAATGCAGACAGCAACCCTTATCCCCTAAACCCTAAACCCTTAATCCTGAACCGTGGAGTCGAGCAAGCCAAGGTCGAGCCGCGTCGGACATGCCCGGGAACATAGATCCACTAAGCCGGTTCCACGCCACTTTGGAAAGGTCTCCTGACGGGGGCTTAGGGTTAAGGGCTTAGGGTTAGGGATGCAATCCGAACTTCAGGGCGGTGTTCCGTTATTGGAATTGGCTTCTTGCCAAGTTTAAGGATTTGGGAGTTTCCGAAATAGGGGTACCTTATTTTGGGGTCCTTATAAGAAGGATCCTACTATTTAGGGTGCTGTATGGGGTCCCCTATTTTCGGAAACTCCCATTTGACCCTAAACCCTAAACCCTAGCATTCCATTCCCTTTTATACCTGGTCTACACATATGCCACGAACCGAGGCGCCGACTGTGCTGTGGACTCGTGCCACACGGCTACCCCAGATCGCAAAGACTGAAGTGAGGAGAATCGAAAAAGTGAGAACGACGTGACCAAACGCTCAGAAATCGAGCCAGACCTCATGTACCTGATTGCGCAGTGTCGTATGTACCTACTTGCACAGAGTATTCCATTCCCTAAACCCTAAAACCTAAATCCTAAACCCTAGCATTCCATTCCCTAAACCCTAAACCCTCAACCCTAAACCCCAGTATTCCATTCGGATGTTCAGCCCACTCTCCGGCAGAAGATCGGCCTTGAAGTCCACCAGGCGGGTGACGCCAGGCCAGACCTTTGCCCCAAGGTTCCGTGTTTAATATAATAGGGCCTTGATAATGAGAAGGGCCTTAGTAATTATACTAGGGTTCCTTTAATGGGGTTCCATAAGGGATGCTATGAGAGTACTATAATATAGGGGCCATCATAATGAGAATAGGGTTCCCTTAAAGGGTGTCTTTAAAAGGGTCCGCTAAGGGCTACTATAAGTGGCATTATGGGGGGGGGGTTAATGCAGAGGCCTTGACAATAAGAATAGGATTCCCTTAAAGGGGGTCCATAAGGGCTACTGTAAGGGATCTATAAGGGTACTATAATATAGGGGCCTGAATAATTGGAATAGGGTTCTGGGGCCCAGTATACCATAACTATAATAAGCAGGCCCCAAAATAGGATAGGTGAGTATTTAGGCCCCTACAGTAGGGTCCCGGTGGCTTCCGGTTCAGGCCCTCTGGTCGAGGATTGCGGATTTCGGATCGAACACTTGGGTTCAGGGGTAGATTTAGGTTGTGAGCTTGGGGTTCTAGGCGTCTGCTTGAGATTCCTTCCAGAGTCTAGAGCACCTCGAATCTTGCAAGCTGTCGGATGTGGGGGGCGTCTGACAGGACTGGGAAAACATTTGTGGGCCCTTCGCTCGTCTTGTTGCGATATGTCCCACTCTTCAGCAGCCACAGCTGGGTGCAAGTCCTACGGCAGCATTGTCCTTCCTAGCTTCCTTGCCTCAGGACTTGTGCAATCGCCACCACGGGTTTAAGCCCAAGGTGTAGGGATGCTGCTAAACTGATGTCGGCTAGTAGTCTTCATCATCGCAGCCCTTGTCAATACCCTATGGCCCCTGAAGCCGAAACCGCCGGCGCCTCTTCCGTGGGCGTACCCAGTATGCGGAAGATCTTGAAGATGGTATCGATTTCCTGAGGAACAAGTCTGGGACGACCGCAGGGTTTCGATCCAAAGTCAGGCTTGGCAAACTACACTAACCTGCACGGCCGGGACCCCCCGGCAGACCTGCTCTCCACCCCAGACTTTCGATGATGGTCCTGTGGCTCAAGTTGACGTGCTGTCGGGCCAATCATGACTTTCTTGTACTGCTTCTGGTGATGCCGAATACCCTCGCCTGACAGAAGCCTTCCTACGGTTGCGGCCAACATCTATACTGCTGTTATCAGTTTGCATCGACAACAGCTACAACGACTGCGTTCGAAAGCTGCACAGAACCCGACAGAATTGTGAGATGCCATTGCTTAGACTTCGATTCAGACTTTAGCCCTCACAGTGGACTTCGGAACTTGGAATCAGCTAAGCAGAGTGTCCGAATCGCCAGTGAACAAAGCCTGGGCCATGGCCATCTCGGCCATTACGCAACCTGGATTGGAGTTAAGGATTCTTTATAGTTGTTTAAGGTTTACCTTATTTTTCGCTTTGCATCGCAGTAGGATTCAGGAGCCTGAGCCAGGAGTCTGCTATCATGAAGTCAATGCGGATGACGCATCATCGGACAGATCGGCTGCCATTACAGTACATCAACTGCACCACCGAACATCAACTGTGGCCCTGGTCTGGAACCTCAGTTTTTGCCGACTGAAACTACCTCACTACACTTCCAACACTCTCTTCCGCGATTTCTGCCATGCTCGCTCTATGTAAGTCCAAGTCAGACGGCTTTTCTGTGTGCTACGTAGAGCTGGGAGTTCAGTGGCCAAAGCCGCAATACCGCAAACCGAAGCTCAGGGCTTGGGAATGATAACACTGCTATATGGGAGTTTCCGAAGATGGGGGACCCTAATATGGCACAATAAACAGTAGGATCCTTATTATAAGGACCCCAAAATAAGGTACCCCTAATTTTCGGAAACTCCCATATAGCACTACTCTAACTACCCAGAAGACCTCTGCCCGGGGCTTGGCTTAGCATCAGCGAGCCGAGCAGCCCAGGGACCAAACGTCAGTGGGGGGCCCGTACCGCTCCTCTTAGTTGCCGAGTGGGTTTAGGGTTTAGGGTTGAGGGCTTAAACTTTCAGTTTTAAGAAGGTTTCATTATCCCAAAAAGTTTAAAATTTATAAACTCAGCTACTAAGTCCTGAATTGTAGAAGTGCCCCTACCCCTGAACCCCAAAGTCAAACAGCCCGGACCCACAACCCTTTCTGATTGAAGCAATGGACTTGTTAGATGCAAGAACAGCCTGTGGCATCCTACACATCAGAACAACTAAGTCAACTAAGTATTATATTATTATCCTTGTTCCTTACTATTACTGCTAGTAGTAATGATATCTAGGAGATGGTATCGGAAGGAACCAGGCTGAGACCGTGCAATGAAAAACAGCCACCACAAAGTCAATATGACCCTTGCAAGCCCGCCCCCGCCCCCCCCAAGCGAGCAATATTGAATGATCAGACACCTACCGGACCTACCGTTCACCTGACTTTCGCCCAACATGCAGCCAGAAACCTTGAAATCTGGCTGCCGGGAACCTCAACCCGCGACACCCGGGCAACAAGTCGGGTCTTGCAGAGGTGTCTAACCAACAATTGCAGCCATGACCCTTTTCTATTTCCCAGGCACTCGAAACGCCCCCTAGACCTTTGGACCTGCAGGCCCCAGCCCCAAGCCCACTAACTCTAACGGCGCACGGGGCTTTGCAATAGTTTAAGGCCTTCGGGACTTACGCATCTAGGGCGACGGTTAATTTAGGGATTTAAAGAACCCCTTAATTATTGCTTTCGTCGAGGGTTCCCTCACCTGAAACTCCTAAACTCCTGAGCCACAGCTCCTGGCCCAGAAGGATTTCCGGGGGCCGGTACCACAGCGTCACTACCTCGTGCGTGTAGACCTGCCGGTGCCGTTAAGTGGCTGAAAGCCGCGGCGCGGCGGCTTGGGCTTGGTGTCTGGGATGTTGGGTTGACAAGGGCTGCAGTGGGTCAGGGGCCTAAAGGAGACTGGCTATGTGAGGTTTGGGGTTTCGAAGTCCCTAAATCCAAAATCTTAACCCTCAGACCCCAAATCCCTAAGCAGGCTCTCCATGGAGAAGCTGCTTCTGCACTGGATCTGAGAACAATGGCGCTGTCATCCTAAACCCATCCCACCAAAGACCTTAGAGCCCGACCTAACAAGTTGAGGCCTAACCTAAGGGTATAAGGAAAAGGGATTAATCTAGGTTCTCAGCGGCTTCGTACAATGACTATACTAGAAGGCTTGGGAAATCAAGAATGCCAGTCTGCTAGACTGTCGAGGGTTTAGGGCATAGTGTTCAAGGATTTTTGCCACTCACACTCGGCCATGCCAAGCGAGGTCTGCAGACAACAGGGCGCATCAACAAACAGCGGGTGTAGACCGATCCATCTCGCTGTGAAAGCGGGCTTCATCGCAAGTCAACACCAAGTGACAATCCACAGTAGAGGATGGCCCGAATCACAGCAGGACTAAAAACCACACCCTCGTTCGTCGAGGGCGAAAGCAAACGAAAATCACGTGAAACGACTAAACCTTTCAAAGACACGGCGTGTCTTCCCGAACAACAGAAGATGCGGCCACACATGCAGAGGCAGGGAGACATGCAAAACAAAGCAGGGGCGTATCCAAGCACCACACCCTCGGGTCAAGAGCGCTTGTACGGGTGCACACTACGCTACACCAGCGGAAGAAGCTGAAGCTTTTGGATGAATTTCATCACATGCGCTGCCACAAAAGCTGCATCCTGAGCTTCCAACCCAAAGAGCAGTTGTATGAATCCATTCAAGCAGTCCTTGAGAACGCCGATGACGATGACGTGCGCCGGCGTGGCCGACTCCACCGCTTGGTCCTCCTTGACGGAGAACTCTTTCCCAAGCTGCCGAAGACAACCAGCAGCTCAAGCTACCCCCAAATCGTGCAGTGCCGTCAGCTCGATACCATGATTCTTCTCGTGGTCGCTTTCGTGTCTGATTGCCGCCGTTCCGAATGGCACGACTCGAACCTAGTCCCAGATCTCTTTGCGCAATGGCACTTCTCGGAAGTCTTGATGGGGATTGGGTTGTGAGACTTAGGTACCGGGTAACCTTGCAGTATTTCCGACGATTATAAAAACATAAACTCTAAACTCACACACCTATTCACTACAAGATCAGTGGGGCTTAAAACATAACACACACACACACACACAAGGATCTCACAATGAAGCACGTCTAGAATCCCGCTAATTATGGGGGGAGGGGTCTCTGTACCCGATCCTGATGTTTATGTACCTTTGGGGCTTACAAAAGAGTCAGCAGGACCGCCCAACCGGGCCTTCAGTGGCACATTGAGCGCCCGTGCGAGGCCAAAATCGGCCAGCACCTGATCGAACACCCGGCAAAAGCAACGAAGTGGGAGGGATCGCTGAAAGGTAAACTTGTTTAGGGTTAGGGGTTTAGGGGTTTAGGGTTTAGGGTTTTAAATACCCTTCCCCGTCATTCAAGGCCTTAGTATAAGAATCCCCACTCAAACGGATACGCCTGTAATCGAATTCTCGAAATATTGAAATGTCAAGAGTGGTCCAAGGCACACGCAAAAAAGAACCTCTGATCGGGTCCTTGTTGTAAGGAGCGCCAAATAGTGAACCCCAAACTCTAAGAGACCACCAAATCTCATGAACTCTTGCTAGGAGGTTTCACTAAAATTTGGCAAAGGGGCGAGACGTGGAGCTTGCGGCCAGCGCAGCTTCACCAACACCTCAAGCCAAAGCAAAAATACGATTTGACAAGTCGTTTTCTTTTAAGTTCTAGCCCAACCTGGAAGCCCTTCCAAGTCTCGGCTGAAGGTTCCAGAGTTTGGGGTCAAGCTGCCCTGCCGTACGGGTTTCGAGTTTGAGCCGTCGACTTTGCAGTTCAGGCTTTATGAAGTGTTCATCCAGGACTGGACATGACCAGCGACTAGAGAATGGTCCAGGTCGTTTAGGTTTTGCCATTTCGTCGGTCTCCTGCCCAAGAAGCGTCGACGGGCACCGACAAAGGCTTGGCGACTAACATTTGTGCTGAACCTTAAACGCATAAAGCCGAAGCCCGAAGAGGCTTGATGCTGAGCTGGAAGTTTCGGTTGGTCGCTGTGAAGTTCTCGACGAACAAATGCGCTGGATACTCTGAACCGTGATAGACTTCAGATTTGAAAACCCCGTCGAGTCATTGACCTTGCACAAGACTTCATCCATTATCCCTACGCTTCCCTAACTGCATATTCTGAAATCCGCACCCCAACCTTGGCCAAGTGACGTTCTGTGGCTTGAGATCGCGATGGAGCACCCGGTTGCTGTGGCAGAATTCGATGCCCCGGAAGCACTGCCACGAGCATTTCCTGCCCACGGCCCGAACTTCCAAAACAGCACAGTGACATTGCGGCTGCTATTAGTAACACTAAGACTACAGTAAGAATACAAACCAGTACAAAAAAACAACCAGAACAACAACTACTATCGCAACACAAGCAAGAATATCACAATAACAACAACTAAACACAACACTATGCAAACTAAAGGAACATCTCAAAAATCACAAGATCAGAATAGCCATGACCGCCACAGCAAAAGGGAAAGCCATGACATGACCAGGCGTGGTCGTGGCTGCCGTCGAGGTCGCATTGGCCGCGGATACCATACCAATGATCTCAAAGACTGGAAACAAAATGAACGGTTGAGCGATGAATAAAATCATGGCAGCAGAACCGCAGCATCACCATCACCACGACCACTGCTACTACGACGACTACTGCTACTACTACGACTACTACGACGACGACTGCAACTACACTACAAACACTGCCATTACTACTTCTAATGCTGCGGCTACGGCTAAGCCCACGACTACGATTATGCCTGTGACGGCCACGACGACGACGACTACAGCTACTGCATGCCGGAAAGCCCACACTCCACAACCATGGAAACCTGAGTGCAAAGCCTCCGCGCCTGAGCGCTTGACCCTCAAGCTTGCCGAAGCGCTTGAGGTAAGCACGAAGGTCCATGTCCTCCCGGTCCCGGCGACGATTTGGGTTTAGGGCTTCGGTCCTGTAAGCTCGGGATCTCACCAGGCCATCTGAAACCCGCCTCTTGGAAGGTAGTCCATATACATATACATATATATATATATATATATGCTCACCCCCCCCCCATGATAGACCGTCGTGGGGAAGGGGAAGGGTGGCGTGCGTCCCCAGGCAGGATCTGTCAACGGATAGGCGACAGACACTTCTCCCAAACTCAATTCCAAAATGTTCTTTTAGATGGTTTGCAATTTTTGGAAATTTCTTCACACGCATGCAGCGCTCCTAGTCCCAATCTTAATCTCAATTATGCTCTTCGTACCACTATTACTGTTTGTAGATTTTAATTCTTGTATCAGTGTTAGCATTAGTATTAGTTTTGTGGTAGTATTGATATTAGGATGTTTAGTATGAGTAATAGTATTCGAATTAGTATTACTCTTAGTATTAGCATTAAGTATGTGTATTGATGTTACTAGTAGTAGTCGTCGTATTAGCAATAGTTGTCGCACAGCAGTAGTAGTGGTAGCATTAGTATTGGTATTTGTATTAGTATTAGAATGAGTATTAGTATTAGTATTAGTGACTAGCATGAGTATCAGTATTAGTTTTAGTATTAAGTATGTGTACTAGTAGTAGTAGTAGTAGTAGTAGTAGTAGTAGTCGTAGTAGTAGCAGTAGTAGTAGCAGCAGTAGTGGTGACATTAGTATTGGTATGAGTATGAGTATTAGAATTAGTAGCTAGTATTAGTACTAGTATTAGTGTTAGGATTAATATGTATTGTTCTTGGTTCTATTCTTAGTACTGCTGTCATTGTTTGTAGTAGTCCTAATCCTGGTATCAGTGTTCATATGAGTAATAGTTTTGTGGTAGTATTGATATTAGGATGGGTATTGCTTTAGTACTAGTATTGGTATTGGTATTTAGTATTAGTATTAGCATCAGTATTAGTATTAGTATTGAATAAAAGTATACATATCAATAATAGTAAATATGAACTCGTGATTATGTTCGTGCTGGTGTTAGTGCCAGTGTCGATGTCAATGTCAGTAATAGTACTCGTGTTAGTATTAGTATCAGTCTGAATGCTGGTTTTAGTATCTGTTTATTATTCACAGAAGTGCTGGTATTAGTATCAGTAATAGAAATAGTTTTGATATGTGAATATACTGATTGATTCGTACATTTTGAGCTTAATATAATAATACAGTAATGTATTCGAACAATAGTATATTTGCAGAGTTGAAGATTGCGCGAATATATTAGTACGTTGGTGCATGAGTACATTAGTATATTGGTGTATCATGATATTCGTATGTTAACGTAGTAGTATATTAGTATATTATTATAGTGGTCTATTACTACATTTACTATATTCGTATTTTCCCTAATAGCTTATAGGTATATCAATATGTTGGCATAATGGCATGTGAACATGTCAGTGTACTTGCCTTTTACAGTATTCGTATATTAGTACACTAGCATATTTAGTGATAATTAGTGTTGATGCCAGTGCCAATGTCGATGTCAGTTTTAATCAGTCTTAATGATGAATTTAACATCAGTGTAATATTCGCGGACGTGCTAGTATGCGTATCAATACTATAATTAGTTTTGATATATTAGTATACTGATAGATTATATAAACAGCTTAGTATACCAACACATTATAATGTATTCGAACAGTAATATGTTTGTATACCTGCATGTTTGTATGCTCTTAGTATATTAATGCATGCGTACGTTCGTGCATGAGTACATTAGTATATTGGTGTGCTATTATCTTCGATTATTAACATATTAGTGTATGAGCATCCTGGTATGCTACTTCATTTATCATATTCGTATATTATCTAACAACTTTTTTGGTATATCCATATGTTAGTATACCATTGCCATGTGTCAGTGTACTTGCATATTACACTATTCGTGTCTTAGCAAGTTAGCATATCAATACAGTATAATCAGACGTTAACAAGTAGTATATTGTCACGTTGGAAACTGGGTATATGACAAATTAAATACGAATATACTACGTTAGTACACGAATGCATTGATATATTTGCTTTTCAGATAGTGGTATGTATATCTGCGGACATTAATATACGCAGGTGTCTGTTAGTATTGGCATTAATATCAATATGAATATGACTATTGGTAGGCGTAGGAGTATTAATGTTAATAATAGAATTAGTAATGTGCATATTCGAAATGAAAGCATTAATATACATGTCAACGTTAGTGTTAAAAGCACTACACAGTAATCTTACTTGAGTCATATATAGAGCAGATTCCAGCATTTCCAAAATTTCCAAAATTCTCTCCCCTAACTTTCCAGATTTCCAAAATTTCCAAAATTTCCAAAATTTCCCGACCTAGTCGACAGGATTTTTCCAAAACATAAGGGCGGACTTTTTGGAAATTATTGAAATTTTGGAAATTTTGGAAATTTTAGAAATTTTGGAATTTTGGAAATTTTGGAAATCTGGAAAGTTAGGGGAGAGAATTTTGGAAATTTTGGAAATTTTGGAAATGCTGGAATCTGCTCTATATATGACTCAAGTAAGATTACTGTGTAGTGCTTACTATGTAGTGTGTCAGCACAACCCTCATCCATACACGTGTGCTCTGTAATTCCTTTCTTGGTAGGACACCCGCGCGCCTTATCGTGCTGCTTTCTGGTCTCAGTCTTTTGGTGGTTCCAGGGATACGTTCGGAGGGCTCAAACTCGATACTCCGGAAAAAGCACGAACACGCCGGTGGGAGCGATGTTTTAAAGGGGATGGTCTGTCATGGGGGGGGGGGGTGACCATATATATTTATTTATTTATACTATATTATATTTTATATATATATATATATACATATATATGGCCTAAATCCATAGCCGGTACAGCATACACATCACCAGCTACACTCAAATCGCTCACAACTCGCTACTGCGGCTCCCTCTCAAGCCCCCTAGCACAGAAGGCCGTTGCAGGATACTTACAGTATTAAAGTCCCCCTCCTAAAACCTTTTCCATGGACTTCAGTAACGAAGGAAAGCACCTTGACGCATAGGGATCCTGATCAAGGTGTCGGGCATACATAGATAGCTACATGTATGTATATATTTCATCATAGTTCGATCGTTTTGGAGTCTCAAGGTTCAATTCAACGCAATTCGGCATAGTGCGGAGGTTGCCCGCTGGGGCTACACAACAGTCACAATAATGCTTACGGTCAGGCTTACCATAATGGGCTCTAGAACTAAACGGGTCACTTCAAGGGTTGCTATGACGGGTAGTATGAGGCTTAGTATCTGAACACCGAGCCCCCAAAACGAAAGCCCCAAAGCCGAATCCATGAAGCCCAAACCACCCAAGAAGAGAATCTCCATGTGCCATTCTGAACCCTGGCTGGCTCCAGACACTCAAAGACCAAGTAGATGCTCGACCAGCTGTTGCACCTCAGTGCAGACCCTACACCCCGGAACCCCCTCTCTCTGCCAATCTCTCTGCACACATCATCTTTATCTACGCTCTCTGTCTCTTTCTCTCTTTCTGTCCCTCTAGGCCTTAGGGGTACACTCTAGGACCCCCAACCCCCTAGGCGGTGCACCCTGTTGGGGTTTTAGGGGCAGTCGGCTGAGAACTGAGAGGAAGCAGCGCATGTGTTAGCAAACACCCTCAACTAAAACCCCGACCACATCCTGGGATGGAACACTCAGGTGGCTGACAGATTCTGTTGGCTCTCCCGAGTCAAACCCAAAGTACCCCCCACCTACAAAGCCCCTGTTGCACCTTTTGAACGACCCGCCAAGCAGTAAGAACCCGGAGCCCCCCAAGACTCCAATACCTCTTCATTAAGGAATATACCTCAAATCATACTAGGGATCAAAATGTCAAGTATATTCCTTCATTAAGGGATATTGGAGTCTCTGGGCTCTAAATCTGAGAGTAAGGATTGAAAACTGTAGGGCAAGCCCTGATTTACAAGCCTGCAAAGCCTGCTTGCAAGAACCCCGACTAAAGGTTCCATGTGGCAGTCTTATAAGGGGCTTATAGGGGGCAGTGTTTCCGTTAACATCCCTTGATATCAGGGCCTAATTGTGTACAGCGGTTTGAACCTGAATCGGTTTTGGGCGAGTAAGGGAATGCCACTGTAGCTGTGTATCCGAAAGCCGGATGCACAGAATCAGAACTGAACCAGAACGAAACACATCGTTGAATCCAGGAACTTTGCGTGCACCTGTTAGCCCCAAACCCTACACCCCAAATCCCTAAACCCCAAAGGGCTGGGGAGCGACTTGGGTGTTAAGGCGCAGCCGGAATCGAATGAAAAGATGGCAGCAGGTATAGAGCTTGGGGTTTAGGGTGTACTCGTTTAGTATTACTGCTCAGGGTCAAAAAGCAAAACCATGTCCCCGCAGCAGCAACAAAAGCCAAGACCCTGTGCAAAGAGGTCACCCGGAGGGTGTCGCTGAGGCCTTGAAAGTATTCCCTCGACCCAACGGAATGCAGCACAAGCCGCACGTCCAGGAGCTTGATCACATTTTCGTGATTCAGAGTCTGCAGGGCTATCGAATCGAACCCAGACGGTTGAGTTCGAGGCTTCATGCTCTTAAGCGAAGATGCCGGTGCCCGATTCATGAGTCGAGTCCTTCGTAGGGGTGAGACACGACCCACACAAGTAACAAAGAAGATGGATTGCCTGGCGACACCATGCCACTCGTGGGTTTCACACTGAACGTACTCCCAAATTCTCAAACCCAGACACCAAGTATCACAACTCCAGAAACCCCTACACTCACCCCGAAATCTCAAAGCCGCACGACATGAAGTCTCCCCCCTATCGTTTTGGTGATTTGGTGCTTTGGCAGGGCTGTGTTTGAAGTCCGCGGCTCTGTGGGCTCAAGGCTGCTGAGAGTTAGGGATGGATAGGACTGGAATCTACTGCTGGGGTTCGGGGCTGTTTCGGTTTTTCATCTCAGAATTTTGAGGTATGTTTGCTTAAGTCTTGGTCTTGGACCTGGAGCCAGACAGCACCCGGGGCCCTAATCTAGGGGCCTTAGTAATTGGAATAGGGTTTTGGGGTATATTAATATTGTAATTCTAATAAGGAACCCCCAAAATGCTGTAGGTAATTATTTAGGCCCCCATAGTAGGCTTGAAGCCCCAGTCTCCGGGCCTTTAGCAAGGCGATCTCTCGGAGAGCCACGGCCGGAACACCATCCTCACAATTAGACTAGGGTGTCATAGGGTCCCTTTTAAAGGGTTCCTTGAAAGGTCTACAAAGCCTACTAGAATGGTTTAGGGGTGAGTTTGGGATCTTCGGGCTTCTTAGGGTTCGAGGCTTGTTGGTTTTTGACGCCTCTTTTCAACTGCAAAGAGACCCCTCCGGGCAGGCTGTCAAGCGGAGGTTTGGGGCTTCGGGCTTAAGATCTTCTTCTACATTCCGGGGTTCAGGCTTCAGGGCCTTTACAGTCTCAAACCAGGTCTCGGGTTCGAAGGACTTTGACTGGTCGGCACTAGAAGCTGAAGGTTAAGGGTACAAGCTGCGTAAGGGCTTTCTCAAGAACTGTAGACGGTTTCTTCATGATGTAGAGGAGTTTAGGGTTACGGCTTCTGGAGCTCCAAACAGAGTGTGGCATCAAACTTGTGGTCGGACGTCCTCGTGCAGCACGCGGATACGCTTTATGGCAACCTCCTCACAGGGCTGATAGGGTGTGAGGTTTGAGGCGCTTGGGCTTTAGGCCGGGTACATATAGTTACAGAGTACACACTACGCTAAGATGGAGCACAGCAATAACCAACATATTTACAAAACACCAGCATGAAACATACAATCATTGTAACCATATTCAGCACATGAACGAAGCTTTTTGCTATGCTCATAATATTCTTGCGAGGGCAACAACAACATTAGCAGCTCGTATAACAATCGAAAAGGTGTGTGTGTGTGTATATATATAATACCACGACTATGAAGGACGATAATCGCAGCGTAACAATACCAACCGCATTACAATAACGGTATTCACAGCATCAAGAAAAAAGCTTTGTTAGTCATACTAAAGCCAGCATACACCAGGCACATTATTTCAACCGTTGTTCAAAAAGAGCAAATATAGAACTCTATTACTGCGACAAATACTGGGACGATTAAAGAAGACTGATAAACACCGAAAGTACTAATGTTGGTGAAAACGCGAGTGCTAAGCATACTAGTAACACTGATAACGCTCAAAACACTGGCAATACGAACAATACTAGTGATACGAGCCCAGCCAACGAAATTGCCGGTACCCATCACATAGCCATTTTAACAAGTCCAACAAAAGGAACAATGCTGATGGTATTAAGAAACTTCACCATATTCGTCACATCGATAAGACTCAGAACACGAATGGTATGATAGCGAAGCGTAACTATGTGGAATATATGTACACCGATAATGTCAACAGAAGTCATGATATTAGCCCTTACAATATGAACAAGAATGATTAGTTTCATGTTCATGGTACTGTCGCTGATGTTGTTAGCATTGAAAAACCGGTGGTCATAGAACATAAATTATACTGATGTTCTTGGCAATGCTAACAACTACAAACATTAAATACGAGTACTGAGGCTATTAAACATGCTGAGAATGTGGAAACTTGAAGAACAACATTAGCAATCTGAGACGTCTTTATATCGCTTGTACCAAACGAATACAACTAACACTGTTCCTGGTGGTGGTAAGACAAAAGATAAAACGAATATCACTAGCACTAGTACTGTAACCATATAACAGCAGCAACAATAGCATCAACGTGAAATCGCTCATAATGTTACCGGTTAGTTTAGTGCTGATAGCATGACAAGTATTCACAGTTTTGCAAATGCTAACAGTACCGATGATATTAATAATGCTAGCAATATCAAAATGGAAAAAAGCTTCTTAACCGCATCAAGAATGAAACCTGTATAAAACTATTGATCATTTTACAACAGTTTGTTCTATTAACTATAATGCTAGTGATAGGGCAATACAAACATCGTGTGGTGTGAGTAGTGCCGTCAGTGGTCATAGTAAAAGTAGTAATGCTTGTAATGTTGGTAAAGTGCGCGGTGTTGCTACTGTGGAACATGTTAAACGTATCAGAAGCGGTCATAATAGCAAGAAAATAGAAACACAAATAGAAATACTGTGAAAAAAGTTAGTCATACTAATACAATCCTCGTGACAATCAACAAGTTCATACTACTAATCATGTAAACAAACAGTGTGCGGAATATCAAATGTCAAAAAGCTTCACTGGCACCAATAATATTAGTACGGGTTTAGTATTACTGGCAGTTTGAACTTTATGAACATTCGACAATTCAAGCTCCGGCATCACACTCGGAATAATTATCCCAAAGCAGATTCAAATTTCAAGGCCCCTGTGTCAAACTTAGGGTGTTGTTCGCCCCCTTACCCTACTCTACTAATTAATTTGAAGGCCCCAATCTGCAAACTTAGGGCAATATACCCTGTACCCTAAACACTTACCCCTAAACCTTGAACCCCTTGTTTTTGATGTTTAAACCCCTTAAGCGTATACCCTCCCGGCGCCTGGTGGGGTGCGGCCCTAGTCTCAGCGCGGTAGACAGTGCCATAGGTGCCCTCACCTCACTTTTGGCACTCGCACTCGACGCAGCACCTCACTTACAGTGCAATACTGTCTAATATGGTAACATGTTAGTAAGTTGTAGAACAAAATGGGACGATGTAGCATGACATAATACGATGCAGCATGAAATATTATACATAGTGCAACATGTATAATATAGTACAAAGTTAGGTGTCGATTTCAACAATCCCAAAACTGTCTATAATTATGGCTCTATATCAAACAACAAGGGAAGTCAAACTTATCCCAAACCGATACTTACTATAGCAGAATCTAGCATAAGACACTATAGCATATTCTAGTACGTTACAAATAGAATCTTGCTTTTACTACTCTTCACACGGAAACTTCAGGCGACCACACTGAAACACCCTTTGTGCTCGACATGTTTGCGACTCATACACCCGTCGTCTCTGACACTTGCAGCAACAGATCACCCTCCCGAACCCGGCGCAGTCTCCTCTACATCACCCACCCTCCCCCCCCACCGCCCTACCCCGACACCCCCTCGTGATCTTTAAGGAACCCTAGGGGCTTGGTGGGTTTAGGGCTTCGGCCTCTTCATCCTTTGGGGGCTTAGGGGTTTTGGGTTTAGGGAGTAGGGATCAGGGATGAAGGATTAGGGATTAGGGGTTCGGGTTTAGGGTTTTGGGGTTCGAGTTTAGGGATAAGGGTTTACGCTGTCACAACTAGGACATGCCTGACGAGGTCTCTGGTGCTGTGTGCTTTGACGACTCGGGACTAGGAACATACAATCCGGGATTAGGGTTTAAGGATAAGGGATTAAGGTTCAGGGATTATGATTATGGCTTAGAAGGGGCCCCCACCCTGTAATAGTGGTATAATAGGAATATAATAGGGCCCTAATATAATCCTTAAAGTCACTATTTCAGGTTGGGGGCAGCTTCTAAATTATGGCGTATGGTTTAGGGTTCGGGGCGTAAGCCCGAGTACACCCGAAACCCTGTGGAGGGAAGTGAAAGGTGAATCCGCAGGGGAACTCATAGCTCTTCGGATGTTCCAAGCAAGGCTACAGTACGTGGTATGTACTATAGGGGCATTAATGACTTTAAAAGGATTTTGGGGCCCATGAAGCTATAATTAGAATAAGGAACCCCCAAAATGATATAGGTGATTGTGAAAGGCACCTATATTAATTAGTTCAGACCCCAACCCTCAACGCCACAGCACACAAGAGTACTGCAGGCGCTACATTGAACTGCCAGCTTAAGGGCACACAGAGTGCTTTGCTACTTTAAAACCTCGTCGAAGCTTATGCATTAGAAGCTGCCCCCACCCTGTAACAGTGACTATAAGGATTATATTAGGGCCCTATTATATTCCTATTGTACCACTATTACAGGGTGGGGGCAGCTTCTAACTTATGCATGCTCTGGCCGAGCGGCCGAGTCTGTCCATCATGATATACCTTTCTGCGACATCTGGCGACGTCTCCTCCTGCGCCACCTGTGAAGATAAGGATCTCTGGCATAGGAAAGAAGCTGCCCCCACCCTGTCATAGTGGTACAATGGGACTGTAGTAGGGCCACAATTCAATCCTTATAGTCACTATTACAGGGTGGGGGCCCCTTCTAAGGCATATGCAAGCATTGATCGAGCCAGTTTACGGCACCATGCTTGCTCCCAAATGTCTCTTTCGTCTTTCGGTTATGGTACCGTTGACGGACCTGCTTCCAACGAACTACCATTTAAGCAGACACCGCGAAATTCTGAACCCTAACCGGAGATTTCGTAACGGCTTCCACCTAAGATTGAAACGAAAGACTAGCACAAACCCTCAGCAAAGTAGAAAATCTACCAAACTGCGATCTTCGGCAGGTGGCGCAGTCAAAATTAACATTCGTGGAACGCTATAAACAAGAATAATAGTAGAGCACACTGCCGCCAGCCGGTCCTACAAAAAGCAATGACAGAACCACGAAACCCTGGCGGTCCCCACGCATCAGTGAAGCAGGGTTGGTCAGCAGAGCAAGCAAACTAGCGCATGCGAGTACAGGTAAAAGAACCTTGACAACACCAACAGAGTTTCACGATAACAGAAACCTGCTGCCAGAGTTTAGACTAGTACTAGTAGTAGCTAGTAGTAGTAGTAGCAGTAGTAGTAGTAGTAGTAGTAGTAGTAGTAGTCGTAGTAGTCGTAGTAGTAGTAGTAGTAGTCGTAGTAGTAGTAGCAGTAGTAGTAGTAGCAGTAGTAGTAGTAGTAGTGGGACGACGTAGAAGGACATAGTAGTAAGACGGTGTATACATCGCGAAGCCTCCCTCCCAAACCCTACAGTGCGTCGCGGCGCCTCTGGACGAGGGTCCTTCAGGCAGCCAGTTTAGATATCTAATGTAGGGAGGCTTAATAATTAGAAGAGGATTTTGGGGCCATGATACTCTACTCATTTTTTAAAAAGGAACCCCCCAAAACAGTACTGGTAATTATTTAGGCCCCTATATTGAGCTTCAGGGTTTCAGGTTTAGAGGTTCGGAGGTGTCGGCCTCGGACAATCCAGGCAGGCGAGGCATATGGTTCGAGGTCTGCTACAACAAAGCGTGTGAAACTGCACTAACGGGAGCACATGGACAGTATTAATAAAGTTTAAGGCTTGGGATTTAGGATTTAGACATCAAGGTGTGGGGTTTAGGGTTTAGGCCGTAGGGTGGGGTTGGGATTCACGGTGTAAGGTTTGCTAAACTCAAGGTGTCAAACCGATACTGATTTATAGGAGAACTCAAGACATTTGCGGACATTTCGGGGCGTGTGCTGAGCGTTGTATACCCAAACGGCTTCAAACATGTTCAGCCAATCCGAAATCATAAAGCTTTGCAACATGCTACACACTTAATAACCTTGCCACAACACTGCCCAACTCAAAACCGACGGGAAACCCCCAACTCTCAACCTGAACCCACTCGAAGCGGCAAAGAGGAAAGCTCCCAACAGCCCACGATGAAACCCCAGATCTCCAAGCTTTCGGAAGACCCCGAGGGTGTTTACGTCGCAACGTCATGTATATAACCCAGAAAGCGGTTCCTCGAGATTCCAGGCATATGAAACCCCACTAGAACACCACAACCCACACAAACCTCAAGTGCGCCTCAAATCGAAATTCTCAGCCCTGGAACCCTAAATCCCTTCAACCCAAACCTTGTCACTCCGAAGCCACCGAAACCCTTTAAGTCCAACACACCTTACACCCTGATATGACCCCTGGGATCATCAACTAGGGTGTATAAACTACAGCTACTGCACACTAAAACCTGTGAGCCCTAAGTATCTACTACAAGGGCGTTAGTAACTACAATCGGTTTTGGGGCTATATTATACTATAATTGAAATAAGGAACCCCAGAAATAGTATAGGTAATTATTAAGGCCCCCCTATTATGTGACTCCCTCCCCCGACGCCTCGCTGCTCATGGCTTCCTCACGCGCTGGAGAGCCGGCACAGAGCCGAAAGATACTTGAGCCGACAGCCACGGAGTGCTTCGACATCTGCAACTGCGGCGGTCTCAGTGCTAGCAGGTCGTCGTCGTAGTTGGAGTAGCGGCAGTATAGTAGCACCACAACTGCAAGGAGAAGTAGAAATAGGCGAAGTAAAGTCGCAGTCGAAGCAGAAGCAGCGGCCGCATGCGCACACAGCCACATTGCATCACGCCCTGGGTTAGCGCAGGGTTTTCCATGCTTCCTCTCAGTTCAGTGCACATATCTACAAGGCCCTACATGACCCTAAACTGGCCCTAAACCCTACACCTTAATTAGATACTGCCCCCATACAGTAAGAGTCTATAATAGGGCTGCTCTGAAGGTCCTATGATATCTATATAATGAATATTAATCAACTATTACTGAGTGGGGGCCGTACCCAACCTACACCCTAATGAACACTACCGCGGGCTTCGACTCCGAAACGTCGCGTCCGGAGCCGCACGGGGCCCCGTGGCCAAGCAGCGCGCGATCTCTGCGTGACCCTCCTGAGAGGCCACTGACAAAGCCTGGGGTATGGTTTAGGGGTTTCAGCACTCACACTCGGACATGCCTCTCGAGGTTCACAAGTCGCGGGGTCAGGCACAGATGGCCTCTACCATCACACATTGGCGACAGCAAAACATTAACAGACCTGCCATCTTATCTCCACGGGGTTTAGGGGTTTAGGGTTTAGGGGTTGAAACTCATCAATGATCATGTTTCGTTCTGGCTGAAAAAATCATGTTCGGGAAAGATGCTAAATTCAGCAAACACCAAGAGGCGGACTGGCCAAGATTGTTAGCCTGGTCCGTAGCACCGGCATCTAGGAGCATTCGCACCACTTCCCCATGGCCTTTCTGAGATGCCACCCATAGGGCCGTGAGCCCACGGCTATCCCTCTTCTCGCTGCAAGCACGGGCCTGCAAGAGGAGCTTCACGATGGCAACATGGCCTTGGGCAGATGCCACCTGCAGAGGGGTCAGGCCTCGGTGGGAGCCGTGGTCTCGATCGGCGCCGGCCTCCAGCAAGGCACGCACAGCATCGACGTGGCCGAACTGCGCCGCTGCGCAGAGGGGTGTGAGCCCGAGCGGATCACTCAGATCCTTGTCGGCTTTTGCCTCCAGGAGCAAGCGGATGATGGCTGTGTGGCCGTAGGCAGAAGCCATGGGAAGAAGGGGCAGAAGGCCCTGGAAGTCCTGCCCAGAACCATCGCCACCCATTCGCTGCAGAAGAAGCCGTGCCACCTCCACGTGGCCGCTGGCAGAGGCTAGATGGAGAGGCGTCAGACGCAACGGATTGCTCTTGCTTTCGGCCCTAGCCTCCAATAATGCACTGACCACCTCCAGGTGGCCGTCGGCGGAGGCCGCATGGAGGGGCGTGTCCGAGTCCTCCCTGCGACGAAAGTCAGCCTTGGCCTCCAGGAGTTTTTGGACCACTTCCTGGGCTCTTCTTAAAGGGTTCTTTATTTAAGTTACCACCATAGTAAGGACACCATACTAACTACCTATTATGGTAACTTAAAGGGCTCTGTGGATTTTTTTAGTTAAGTTACCATCATAAGGAAACCATGTTACCTACTATGGTAACTTAAACAAAATCCTTTAACAAGCGCCCAGCTTCCAGGTGACCCCTCTGAGAAGCTGCGAAGAGAGGGCTTTTTGCCTCATGTCCGCCTTCGTCAAGCAAGTTCGGATCTTGTGGCCGCTGCAGTATGCCTTCGACCTCGAAGCCCGAGCCGCTTGCAGAAGCCGCCCTGAGCTCCTTCACCTCAAAGGGGTTCTTTTGGGGTCAACTCCTGCTCCGCTGAATTCTATCCTTTCCCTTAAATGTAAGGGTCTATGTTGACGCCTTAGCCCTGAACCCTGATCGCGAATCGCCAAGTCCTGAAACCCTACACATCGCGGATCCTTTTGCAACAGGCTTTCCACTTCGCCCTCCCAGACCTTAAACCCCTAAACCCTAAACCCTAAACCCCTGACCCCAAACCCCTGCACCTGCTCCTGGGATGTGCCGGCGAAGGGCAGCAAAACCAACTGCAGGTTGCTCGGGGCGGACAGCTCCTGGGGCTCACCAAACAAACGGCTTCGGGTCTTCTTGTGGTCTCGAGCTGCAGTGTTTTCCCCTATAGGTTTTGTGTTTGGCTGCTAGGATTGCCAAGTTTCAGGTTGGAGGTGTTGCAAAGTGCCGCAAGTTAGGAAAGGCTTTAGATTTGGCGGATTCCGGCGTAGGACTTCGTCCTGCCACTGGTTCGTTTCACGTTTCTGTTCCGTCATTCACTACCCCTTAAATGGACAAATTTAGACAATGAAAGCGGCCTGGGTCATGGCTGTATAAAATCATTGCGGGGGGGTGTTGCATGTCGTGATTCAAGCTCGTTCCCAACCCACCTGCGATGGCCTTTTCACCGGGTGTCTGAGTTTTCTTGATGCTTGATGGTACGTAGTATGTCAGAACCCATGCCATAATGCATATACTCGAAGAAATCGCGATATGTTGTGATGTATTGGGACACCCTATAGTCAACTATACTATACTCTAACATACCATAGTATACAGCAGGACGACTCCCGCATGCTTATGTGTATATACAGATAGATAGATAGATAGATAGATAGGTACACGTATAGGTACCTACTCATGCAAAAGTAAACTGCACATGCATAAGCTTACGTATCATATATATATATATATATATACACATATATATATATATATATATACCATGGCATACTGTAAAGACTATAAGGTACACTTATATGTTGCCGTGCTGCTCCTCGAGTTTCGGCGGAACTTGTTGGCTTGGTCGGCTGGGCACTCCCCAAAGCACGCAGAGTTGGGTGAGTCGGGCAGTTTACCCAAACCTCTACTGGGGAATATAGACTCTCTCAATAAGGTCCCTCCTGAGAGAGCCAGAAGTAGGGTTCAGAAGGGTCCGCTTCCGCCTCCCTAACGCTATCTAGGACTATGGCAAGCCTCCATGATCTGGCCCTGTAACACAGTTCACGCTCTCGCTCTCCGCACGACAGAAGGAGGTGAAAGATAATCACAGACTCGCATCATACAGGCTCAACACAAGTCAGACAGCCTCAAGCCCGTATCAAAACCAAAAAGCAACTCCTATAACACGGTTTAGGGTTTCGGGCTCAGGCTTTAAAAGGCCCAAGGATCTGCATCGTCCTCGAGATTGGAGCCATTCTGATGCAGCCGCTGCCTGGAACTTTGCACCCCGCTCCAAGCCGTAAGGCCACAGGAGCCTTGAACCCTACTTAAAGGGGTTATAATTAGGGTAACTATACTTATAACTACATATAACCCCAATTAAGGTACTTATAACCTTACTTACTAAGTCCCATGATCCTCCAAGTACTTCTTCCCAGAGACTCCACAATATTCCTCAATTCAGGACTATACCCTGAATCAGATTAGGGATCCTACTATAATTTAAGGTATATTCCCGAGTTAAGGGATATTGGAGTCTCTGGGTTAAAGTGGGACGCTCTGACGGCCCCAAACCCAAAGCTGCCACGATAGGGGCCCTAAAAATTAGAACAGGGTTTTGGGGCGCATTATACTATCATTATAATAAGGAACACCAAAAATGGTATTGGCAATTATTAAAGCCCGCGTAGTACCAGGACCCCCGAAGGGCCGTTTAATAGAGCCCTTGTGGTCGTTAATAGTGGGTATTTGGGGTACATTAGAGGCTACTTGTGGGGCCCCCCTGATTAAACCCTAAAGACCCTCAGCCTCAACCCTTGTTTGCAAAACCCTAAGGGCGCTGCACCCACCTGAAGCGCGGAAGCCCACAGAGCGGCTCCAAGCGTCGTTTCAGCGCGCGCACGGAGCTCAACTGCTCCGGGGGAAAAACGGCCAGCTCGTCTCCCGAAATCCGCCAGACATGCAGCATTCGGCTTTTGCCGAATGCTTGGGGCTTGCGGCTTGGGATTCCAAGGCCTCAACAGGTTCAAGTTTTGGGAATGCAGATCTTGTGAGTTCTTGGGGGGGGGCGACGTGCTCGCAAGCGGACAAGGCAGGGCCCGATGTTGCATTTGAGGTTTGAGGCAGAGGCTGCAGATCGTGGGTTCGCGAGATCCCAAACAGCCAAATGCCTGCGCCAAGTGCTGTCTTAGATGAAGTTTCACAAGCTCCACAATCTCGGCACACGTAACCCAGGAGTCTTTCCACATATGCAGGCTATGCATCCGGTTTAGCAGCATCGCAAAGCACATGCCCGGAGTTTCATGTGAATGTTGCGTCGACCGGATTTGATATGGCCCTTTTTTGACGGGAGCTTCTTGCCGCGTCAGACGTGCACCGGGTCGTGCATGGGCTTCGCAGTTGGGCTTCGGGATTCGGAACAATCTTGGAATGCCTCTCGGGATGCTTCTGCCCTCCAGCAAGCAGCTGCCCAAACCCTGATGGCCCCAAACCCAACACCTGCGAGGCCCAGCCGGGGACTTGATCCCAGCCAATTCATCAAATGCAACGCACGGGCCGACGGCTGGGCCGAAATCCGGCCCACGGAATGTACATTCTTCAGACTGCGTGCTGCGGAAAATAGCTCATGTTAGCCGCAAATACGCGCAACTTCCACCAGACTCCGACCGCTAAACCAAACTGTATCACAGAAAAACATATGCTGCTTCATATGCACAGCACCCACTCACGCGCGCAACGCAGGCTGGCATGTAAGGATGGATGGAAGGATGGAAGGATGGAAGTATGGAAGGATGGAAGGTGTCTGTGTGTGTCTGTGTGTGTCTGTGTGTGTGTCTGTGTGTGTGTCTGTGTGTGTGTGTCTGTGTGTCTGTGTGTGTGTGTGTGTGTGCGTGCACGCCCGTGCGTGCGTGTGCGCGTGCATGTGGGTACCGGGGTGGGTGGTTGTGTGTATGTGGGGGGTGTGCGTGTATGTATGTATGCATGTACATGTACGTGTACCTGTACATGTGCACGAACACATGCATATGCATGAAAAGTATGCACACATATGCATCACATACACAAGCTCATGGATCAATGTCTACACATAAGTATATATATATATATATAAAGAGAGCGAGACAAAGCGGCAAACACTTTGAATATTAAATTGCGCCTTATTTAGTCATATGTCTTCAAACATGCATGAATGTACAGCGGGCAAGGGCATATGTGCAAGCATGTTGCTTGAAACCTGTGTATACATGACTAACCGCATTCATGCGGACAAAACAAGAATACATCTTGTCACTGCATGCCTACCCTACGCCTTGAGCCTAACATCTGTGGTAGCCATGCTGAACCCACTTCTCACCTACGCCCGTTGATGCGCAAATTCAGATGTGGGTCGTGTCTTGCCTAAATAATTGAAACATCAAAGAACACCGAAACGTAGGGATGCTTCTTCGGCAACATCGCAAGGAATTGTGCAAACCTCACACAACATCAGTCAATTGCAGGGCTTCTTCATCAAGTTTTCTCTTTTCGACCCGGCTTTCGGCCCCTGAATTTGGATCTCCACGGGACCCGATCTTCCAAGGAGTCTTTGATGCTTTTTGTTGAAGGCTTGGCGGCTCTCGGGTGCTGATTTTGGGACCCCATTTTACTAGAGTATATATATATATATATATATATAAGCTACGATCGTTATAATAAGGATTTTCCAAAAAATAGTAAGGGTAATTATGGAGGCCCCTATATTAGGGACCCAGGGACTCCAAAGCACCTTTAGCAAGGCATAGTCCCTGACTGGGTTCTTGTTAGCGGATTTACTTTGAAACTAAGCGGAAACCACATTATTTACTATAGACCCCTATTATGGTAATCCTAACACAACAGAACCCAGTTGACATGTGATGATCTTCTGAAGCAGGAATAGAAACAGCAAACATTGACGGTACTAATGACTGGCAGTAGGATGGAGAAGGGATCCTCAAACTCGGGATCTCGAGTCTGCGAAGCTCAGATGACCAAATCGCCACGTCGCATGATGCTTCGAATCGCATTCATGTGCTGCTCGGAGGCGGGTGCCGTCAGGCAGTGGTTCATGACCTTTGGATTCTGGATCATGTTCTATGTCTATGTCTATGCCTAAGCCGATGCCACTGTGTCTGTGTCTATGTCCATGTTTGTATACATACACTGCTACATGCCTAGCCGTGCTCGTATACACAGATACATGTGTTCATATATATATATATATATATATATATATATATGTATAGGTCCATCTACGTTCATATTCATACATATAAACCTTTACGGGCACACACGCATGCAAGCGAATTTCAGAACTCCGTCTTATATACTCGTGTCTCACGGCTGTGTCTGTGTGTGTGTGTGTTTGTCTCGTTGTAGCTACGTCGTTGTTAGTGTTTGCCCTGCAATTCACAGCAAGACTCCCAACAATTGCTCATTACCTGAGAGATGATCTGCCTAAACAACGATGTTTATCAAGCTTGGATCGCAAGTAAAAACAGATCAATCAAAGAATCTGCCATGTTAGATCCTTCTGATTCTAACCTTCCAAACAAAACTCCGTGCACCCTCCAGGAAGCTCCTTAGATTAGGGCTCCCTGTTGGTGGCAGACTTTGAGAGATGTCGCGATGGACTGCTTGGGTCGCTAGTGGCCCGACTGCTCAAAGAGAAACGCTGACGCAGTAGCCACTCAAGCCGAAAAAACCAAGACGACAACCTGTTTAACCATGGCAGCCATCCTGAGATTTATGGGGCACGAATTGCAAAGCCACCTCTTTACGATTTAGGGCTCTGAACCCAAAACCATATCCAGGGCTGTTATATACTGCTGGCAAGCAGCTGCTGGGGTATATACCGAGTTTGGGCATCCGTGAACCCTCCACTCCTAAACCATAAGCCCTGAATCTCCAAACACTGAACGCCTTCATGAGTAAACACTGTCACCCCTGAAGACCCAAACTGCCCTAAACCCTGAGCTCTAAACCCTACATTGTCCAGGCCGCCCCGAAGGTCTCAGTGGACCCCTCCGTGCGCGAAGTGCCGCCTTCCTGCGTGCGGGGAAGGCTTTGCTCTGCGGGTTTCTAAGTCAGGGCCCTTCATAAGGAACCCCCAAAATGGTATCGGTACATGGGTGGTTGTCAAAATTATGGTCCCTTTTTGGGATAATACGGCACCTATTATTTAGGGTGCCCAGAAAGGGACCCTAATTTTGACAACCACCCACACATTTAAAGGCCCCGACATTAACTTTTTGCGCAGGGCTGTCGCTGATAAGGATTGAAGGTTTGGACACTGCGTTGCGGACTAGTCCGATGGCTTGCGAAAAGCAGAGTAAAACTGGACAGCTTGGAGGGGAAGGGTGAAATCTAAAACCTGGGTAGGGACGCAGTTGGGGTATTCGGTTTTAGAGGCCAAGGGGGCAAAGAGAGAGAGAGGGAGAGAAAGAAAGAGGGAGGGCGGGAGAGATATGTCCGTCTGTGGACATGGTACAGGCGTTCTGTCGCGGTCTCAAGCAAAAACCATGCATGCGAACAACATTGACATCCGCTGACCCTACTCCTCCAATCTCACCGCCACAATGATGAACCTAGCAACCACCGTGGACGACATGAAACTCCTCAACCCTGGGATCCTACTCTAATTCGAGGTATATTCCCTCATTAAGGGATATTGGAGTCTCTGGGTCTAGGGTTAAACCCTAAACTCTACTTGCCCTAAACCCTAAACCCCCAACCCTATACCCTATACCCTGAACCCTCCGGCGTTTGCTCGGCTCCTGTTCTCCTGGCAAAGCCCAGTACATCCAATCGAGGCCTGGCTCGGCAGGAAAGACCGCCCAGAGACTCCAAGATCCCTTAATTAAGGAATATACTTGAATATACCTTAAAGAGCTCCTTAAAGGGATCTATAAGGGATCTATAGGGTATACCTAACATTATAGTAGGATCCCTAATATGATTTAAGATATAGTCTTTACTAAGGGATGTTGGAGTCTATGGCTGTTGCAATGACTCGCCACCGGTGCCAACCTTCAATCCTAGGCAGGAACGACTGGGTGCCCAGTCTAGAAAACTTATATAAACCTTCACCCTTGAACCAGAAAAGTCGATGCGCTGGTTACACTCGTAACCCAAAACCTCCACAGCATGCCATATCCCAAATCTCATACAAGCAGGGGCTGTCAACCCAAATCCCAACACCTCAAACTCTGATAAGAGATGGTAGCTAACCTGTGATGATACTCCATATGCTGGAAGGCTTCGCGAAGGACCCCAAATCCGAAACTGCTTCCACCGAAAGCTCTCCATCGAATCATCCGGCCCAAGCCCTCATCCGAAACTCAAGCCCGCATTCTGTCTTAGGCAAATTACATGAACACTATTCCTACAACGATTATGCAGACCGGCTGCCTCCATCGTCGGCCAGCGGCCCGTCCTGCTTAGTCCGAGGTACGGGCATGCTTAGGATCGCTTTTGCAACGCTCTTCGCTGGTTACAAGGATCATATCCTGCCAACCGTCCGCTAAACATGATGGCCGGTGCTGCTGAGACCGGTCCATCCGAAGTGCAACCTAAACGAAGCCTTGAAGGCACCAGTTGCCAGAAGGCCGAAAAGAAAATGGCCAACCAAATCGCTTGGAGAAGTAGTCGCAGTGCCGTCTTGGTCATGCCAGCAACATCAATAACACTCACAATCACCGACATGCAGGCAGCAGGCAAAGGTTTCCTAGCCACAGGAACGGTAGCCGTCGACGTACCAGCGATAATTGGCGACCATGGAGGCACGGAGAAGAAGACTGGCACTGGCAGTATCCACGACAAAGCAAAGCCACAACAATACTAGCAGCAAGACTTGGAATACAAAGTCGAATCCACCTCAACCCTACAGCCGAAGGCACGCCGAAGAATGAGAAAGCCTCGTCTATGCCCTAACCCTCTGAATTTCTGTCACAAGTAAGGTCCTTTTCGGAGCATGCAGGGGAATCAAACAAAATCACCTCGAAGGCCTACCTAGTAAGCCTACAGCTGCCAATCAACAAGAACGGACTCGCCTTGGTCAGATATCCGGACAGCTTCTCCCACCACTGGGCCACATCGGGACCTAAACTCCACAGTCGGTCATGACGGTTTAGGGTGAAGGCCTGCACGCGACGATGACAAGAAGAAGAACGCCGATGAAGATGATGATGATGACGATGAAAATAATGTCTAATAATGATGCTGGTACTGGTGCTGGTAATGGTGGTGGTGATGACAGTGATGATGATAACGAAGATGATGGTGACGAAGGTGATGTCGAAGATGGAAATGATCAATGATGGTGATGATGATGATGATGAAGATGATGATGCCGGTAGTGGTGATGCATATGAAGACTAAGAACACAAACAGATTGTATGCAGTGTTGGGGGCCTTCAGAATCGGGTCTGGCGCAAGATTATACTGCAGGCATGATATAGGGACTATTACCATGCAGCAAGCATTACGTGCGTACCTAAGCCCCGAACCTGAGCTGCTGTGCAAGCTGCTGCTCCGGAAGTCGTGAGCCATACCAAACTCCGTCACGACGACGGGTGCGATGCCCTGTTTCACCTGACAGGGGCGGCTGAAATCGTCTTAAGATGCCTGTCCACCACCACGAAAGCTTGGGGTGCACCCTGTCACTCCATCCGTCCTCGTCGGTGCAGCTCGGCGACCCGGTCTGCTTCTAGTTACGATAGCCCGAACTCTGAGCCACCCTGGAACCCTAAACCCGTGAAACCAGAAAGCATCAACAAAACCCTGAAACTCTCAAAAATGTGAAGAGAGGGCGAGGCGCCAGGTAGCCCCACCACTGCTCAGATCTCTTCGCAAAGTCTGCCAGGTCGGGATCGTATCTCCGGATCATGCCTCGGCTTGTTGGGAGTTTCCGAAAATTAGGATTACCTTCTTTTGGTGTCCTTATAATAAGGATCCTACTACTGAGGGTACTGTATTAGGGTCACCCATTTTCGGAAACTCCCTTTTAGCTTTGCCGTTGTTCGCTTGGGAAGGTGGGTGGAGGCGGGACTGATTGGTTTCGGATTAGGGTTTAGGGTTTAGGGTTTGGGGGTTTAAGGGTTTAGGGGTTTAGGGGTTTAGGAGTTTAGGTTTTTGGAGTTTAGGAGTTTAGGAGTTTAGGGGCTTAGGAGTTTACGGTTTACGGGTTTAGGAGTTTAGGGGTTTAGGGTTTCGATCACTGGGTTTACTTGTAAGTTTTGTTGCGTTGGATTCGGAGTGGATTCATGGTTTCGGGTTCAGCGATTCAAGTTGGCAGCTAGTCAAGCAAGGACTGGAACTAATGCCCATCACGGTAGTGTAACTCGGGGTCCAGGGTCCCTAAACCCTAAGCCCCTAAACCCCTAAACCCTAAACCCTAAAGGGCTTTCAGGGTTCATCCTCGGAGCTTTGCATAGCGAGCTGTTCAGGACTTGGGTGGTCCCCATGCTGGCGTGGCCTAAGCATCCAAAGCCCCAAACTCTGCGAACGCCCACAGTACTGTTGATAGTGTCCGAAAGCCCTTAAAACCAAAACCCGACAGCACATACAAAGAAACCCAAACACCTGTAGTCTCTCGTGCCACGCGGCTGTACCAACCGCCCAGTGGGGCAGCCCCCCTCATCCTCGGCAGTCGTGGTGCTTTCCGACAGTCCCGAACACCCTCATATTCATCCCTGCTCAGAGAATAAGGGAACGCCCTATGAAAACTCTGGAGGAACCATTTCCATTCCCCAACCCAGACAAGCTAATCAATACCTCGCCGCGGGCCGGCACCTTCGCCCGAGCGCATCTCGCAATCGTCCTGGCCGGTGTAAGGGGCCTTGCTTGGAGGGTTTAGGTATAGGGCTTATCGGGAAAAACCTTAGGGCCTTAGGGTTGTTTGTTTTAAGCCCCTTTCTCCATCTAATACTCCTGGCAGCAAGGGGCTAGACTTTAGGGTTTATAGGTTTGGGGTCTTGACTTTTTAAAATTTAGACTGTGGGGTTTCAGATTTACAAGCGCTCAGCAATGGTTGAAAGCTCCTCGACAATAGAATTTGTTTTAAGCCCTAAACCCTAAACCCGGTTCGGAGCAGCAGCTAGCACGCAGGGCTGGATCCGACCCAAAACCTCCGCGCCCCTGCAGACCCTAATCAAACTAATAACACGTGTGGGAGTTTCAGAAAGCTACCGACCCCTACCAAGAGCACTTCTAACAGGATGCTCCATTGAAGCTACAGCTACAGGGATAGATGCAGGGAACCTCCTAGATCCCAGCTTGAAAAGCTAGAGCCTAAATCCTAGATTGGCAAGAACGACACCTACATTAAGATCCCTCAACCCCAGCTCACTCAACCCTAACTCCCTAAATCCCTGAACCCCTTAACTTGACCTTCCCAAACCCCAAAACCCCCTAAAACCCTTGAACGCCGAAGCTCCCGGCCGAAATCCCCAAACAAACCCGGAGAGCTTTCAGGCTCCTCGGTGGTGCAAGACAGCCCGGCACCTCTGAAGAGCCGAAGGGTCTCGACTCGCCCACGTTATGGGCTGTGGGCTTACGGTTTGTGTTCGGGATTTGGGGGTTTCCTTATTCTAATTACGGTACAATGGGCAGCAAAGCCCTATGCGAATTTTTAAGCCCCCTAGTTGAGAGGATGGGTACTACGGCCTCCTCGGTTTAGGCTTTGACAGGGTTCGTATGCTGGGGGCCTGTGCTTAAGGCCAGCTTTCGTGTTGCGTTCGAGTTGTCAGCCGCCTGCGCCCAAAAGCTTCATTGGGGCTAGGGTTGAGCTTTTACGGCTAATGTCAAAAGCCACCCGAAAAAACCGCAACCGCAAGATGTTGAACCCTGGGGCCTCAAACCTAGAACTCTATGCTGCTACATGACAAAGAACAAGGACAAGCGACACTGTCGAAAACCACCACCACCACCACCACCACCAGCACCAGCAGCAGCAGCAGCAGCAAGAGAAGCATTTTTGGGAGCAGCAGCAGCAGCAGCGGAAGGAGCAGCAAAGTTGTCATGTGCCTGACCTTGCTTTCCCAATGAGCCATCTTCGAGCCGAAGCACACTGTGCACCCAGCGCCAGGCACTGCGACTGCAACTGGGAGCAAGCAGCGAAAGGGCAGCAGCGTAGAACCCGTTCCCGCACGGTGTGTACTCTACGTATGCGGTGCATGTGTCCACTACGAGTGTACGGATGGACCGACCAACTGACCAACTGACCGACCGACAGGCACACAGACACACGTACATGAATGCGTACGAGTAGCAACTTTAGCAACATCGCATAGATGCCAGAACTGTAATATAGGGGCCTTAATGATTAGAATAGAGTTTTGGGCCCCGTATAATATAGCTATAATACAGAACCCCCAAAATAGCATTGGCAATTACTTAGGCCCCTATGTAGCATTGGCAATTACTTAGGCCCCTATGGTAACTAGGAAGTCTTGGGTCGTTTGGGGTATGGAGCTGTGCCTGCCGGAGTTTCTCAAAGCTCCGGGCTCACCTTTTGTTAAAGGTGTAATGTAGGGACCTGATTAAGAAACCGTAGGATTCATACAAGGAACCCCAATAAAGGCTTAAGGCTTCTTATGGGGTTCCTACATTAGGAGTGCGGGGTGTAGGATTTAGGATCTGGGATTTGGGGACGCAGCCTATGGGATTTGGGAGTTGCAGCGCGCTTAGGGTCTAAGGGTATAGGCGGTATAGGTGCGCAGATCCTGGGCACAAAAGCTGAAGGCTTCCAATGCTTACGGGTCGGCTCCAAAGCGTGTTGGTTGAAGCTCTCACACTCGGGTGTACGTCTACATAATTGTGCTCTATCTCTTGACACTTTTTCCACCTGCAAACAGCCACCCATCTACGATACAACTGTGGGCTTAGGGTTCGAAGTACACACATTCTCCACAACGTGCTTATGTACCGAAACCGAAACCTCGAAACACCTCCAATCCTGAGCTCTGAACACAAACAGGGTTGTCCTTCAACAGGGGGGAGACAAGGCCCCATATCCTCAATAGGAGTTGATTGGGAAAAAATTCTATACTCCTGGGACACCTCCATAAAGGACAACCCTCAGCCAATGACCCTGAATCCTAAAACGGCCGAGCTCCCGAACCCTAAGCCCTGAACGCTCAAACCTGAAATCCCAAATCCTGGATCTTCAGAATCCCCACGAACCCTACAAACCCTAGACTCCCTACAAACCCTACAAAACTCGAAAACTCTTTTAAAAAACCCTACAAACCGTAAAGTCTGACCAAAAAAACCCTAACTTTCCCCTGTGCCGCGGAGCGATGGAGGAAGCTCCTCGCGCCAGGATGCTGCCAGGAAGCCTCATGGGCTGATGACTATAGGGGTTTAGGGTTTAGGGTTTAGGGTTTAGGGTTTAGGGTTTAGGGTTTAGGGTCTCATGGGCTGATCCTTTATAATTACCTATACCATTTTGGGGGTTCCTTTAAGGGATCTATAAGGGATCTGGGCTCCTTTAAGGGATCTATAAGGGATCTGGGTTCCTTTAAGGGATCTATAAGGGATCTATACCCCAGATCTCCTATAGAAGCCATAAGGATGGCTTCCGAAAATTAGGGGTACCTCGTTTTGGGGTCCTTATTTAGGGTGCCATATTAGGGTCCCCGATTTTCGGGAAACTCCCATGTAGGGGCTCCGTAAGATAATTGTAGTATAATGGGCCCCAAACCCTGTTCTAATCATCACGGCCGGCCGGTATAGTAAGCCGTTTGGGGTTCGGGCTCAAAGCATAGGGTTTAAGGTTTAGGGTTTAAAATTAAAGGGTTCAAGTTTAGGTGTGAAGTTTAGGAGTTCAGGTTGAGCAGCTTCTGAGATGAGCGCCGGGCGCAGTGCATCTTGGTTCTAGTTCTCTGCCGCCCAAGCTCTCGAGCCCTAAACCCCCTCCTAAACTCGAAAACCCTTACCCTTAAAATCACTGAAACACCAAAACCTTGAGGAGTTAGACTTCGAACCTCAGAGAGCGCCGGGCAGCCGCACGTCAAAAACGACGGCGAAGTGCTGCCAACTGTAGGAATGTGCTTCAAAGACCACCTTGTCCTTCGCATTCGGCTTACACCTATGTATATACATATGTATACACATGTGTGTATCTATATATATATATATACACATACATATATCATATATACATATTATATACATATATTATATAGGACCCCAGGTTCACCCACCAGACTTTTGCAAAGTGAACGCAAGCGGAATCAGACGTCAAACCCCAAGCAAATTGCCTCCAAGGCCGAGATCGAAACCCCAGACCCCTCAAACCCGTACTAAACCTTAGAAGCTGCCCCCACCGTGTAATAGTGACTATAAGGATTATATTAGGGCCTTGTTATATTCCTATTATACCACTATTACAGGGTGGGGGCCCCTTCTAAACTAAACCCGTGAAAAAGCCACCCTCACAATCAACCCTACAGCCCAAAACCACAATAAGCCAGGCTGAACCCTATACCCTACAACCCCTAACCACTCCCAACCCCATCAAGCCATCTCTCACGGAACCCTAAACTATTGAAAGGCGGTCGGGATTATTGCTTCAGGGTGCCCACCATATCTGTACCATAACGTGCCCCAAATCCCTATTTCTAGTAGTGTGGGGGCCTTAATAGTTAGAACAGGGTGTTGGTGTATATTATATTATACCGTAATTATAATGAGCCCCCGAAATAACAGATGTAAGTCTTAAGTCTTAAGGCCCCTATAATAGGTCGAGGGTCCTTTGGCAGACTCGGCGGCTTCCTAAGCTTCGGCAAAGTCGGGATCCCTCACCCGGAATCCGCACAGTTTAAGTTTAGGGTTTCGGCGCTCACCACTCGGACAATCCAGGCTTTTACAAGGGGGGCGTATAGGGTTTGGGGTTTAGGGTGCTCATTGCTCCGGGTTGATACTGGGGATCTCAAGGCAGCGTGTAGGCCTGCTTTTTGAGCTTATACGCTGATTGTTAAACTTGGTGCTCTCTTACAGCTTCACAAGTCTTGAACCCTCATCCCAAACAGACTCTGCAGGAGGTTAAACCTGACGAACCCCATAACGCCCTACGAGTATCATGCAAACGTGGATTCCCAAACAGTGACAGAGCACAACGACGACCACGACCAAGTCGACCACGACCCACACGCCCATCAGAAAACGGAAGATCAACACAACAACAGCAGGAGACAACCCGGAGAATGTAGGAGAGCGCGTGCGTGCGACTTGGTAACTACAGGAACCTGTGACCAAAAAGCAGAGAACTCCAGAAACCATGACTGCCCTTCTAGGAATCCTTAAAGGAGCCCCTTAAAGGAACCCTAAACGCCTGAGCTATTCCAAGCATCTCTCCAACCTCACGCAGGTCGAAGGAATAGTCCAGACCACTAAGAGAAATCAGAAGGTCTGGGTTCTCTTCCAGGACCACGAACCTCGGGTTTCAGCACTCACAACGAGACAAGCAGACGAGGATCCGGGTACCAGTACGACGACGAACCTCGGGTTTAAGGTTTAGGGCTTAGAGGGGTTAGGCTGTAGCGCGTAGGGTTTAGAGACCTGGGCCCTCGGGGGTTTGGCTATCTTAGGGGCTTCCGGTCTGAGCCTGAGGTCTCGGTTCTAAATCAAACCCCTAACAAAACCTTGCAAACCCCCTTATAGAACCCTTGTAAAACCCTTAAGAAGACCCTTATCAAGATTTCCAAGGCTTCATCTTTTGCGGGTGATTGGCTGCTGAGGCTCGGGGCCTTACGGGCCTAGCTTTCGTGTGTTTTGTATGTTTTGGGTTTAGGGTTTGGGGTTTGGGGTTTAGGGTTTAGGGTTTGGGGTTTAGGGACCCTAAACCCTAAACCCTAAACCCTTTGGTTGGAGTTCAGTATGCATACAGACCTAACGCGGCCGTTGGTTTGTGGTTGCCCGGGGTCTGCTGAAAAAATACCTTGCCCCCACAGGCAGGGATGGTCTTTCGGCTTTACGTAAAAGGATCGAAAATGCATACGGCCCGTTGAACAGAGACTCTAGATCCTTTAGAGCCTTTTTTGAGGGTGGGGGGGGGAGGTTGTATGCTGAAGGTTCCAACAGTTAAAAACCCATGCACCACTGAGATATCCCAAATCCTGAACCCCAACCCGTAATCTCTTTTTCCTGCCACCGCCTCCCCCAAAATCCCAACACCCTAGACCCAAACATCCCCAATACCCTAAATCCCTGAGCCCCAAAAAGCGATAATATACTGTACTGCACTAAAGCAGACTGTGATTGTAATAGACTGCATTACTAAAATGGGCTACGATATGCAATAGTATATACACATGATCTACTATAACATGCTCCAACATACATCAGCACTCTCACATGGCTGCAATATGCTGTAAACTACTACTAAGATGATGAGACACACCCTTTCTACACCCTAAACCCCTTTTCAGCACGGGCTTCGGGCCGGCAAGGGGCCTGGTGGGTTCTGAGAGACTCCAAAACCCCTATACCTTAAATTCCTTAATTAAGGGGTGCTGGAATCTTTAATACCCTAAGTGGTAGTTGTCAAAAATTAGAATTCCCTTTTTGGGTACCCTAAATAACACGTGCCGCATTATATTAGGGACCCAAAAAAGGACCATAATTCCGACAACCACCTAAGTATGCCCAAACCCTAAGCTTTTAAACCCTAAACCCCTAAAACCCCTAAACCCCTAACCCCTACACCCTAAACCCTTTTTTGCATCCAGCCTGCAAAGCCGCTGCTGGGAACTAAACCCTGAAGCCCTAACCCCTACACCCTAAACCCCTAAAGCCCTAAACCCTAAACCTTAAACTCCTAAACCCTAGCCCCTACACCCTAAACCCTAAAGCCCTAAATCCCAAGTATGTCCAAGCCACCCAGCGTGCTCCGCGGCTGCGCGCCACTGCAGGTGTTTCGGCCCGGTGGCCCACTGGGCCCCCACCGGTTCCTAGTTCATGGTTGGGATAGGGTTTAAAATTTAAACTTCTATTCCTTATTGGGTTTTGGTTTTGTTTTTAGGGCTTCGGGTTTCTAGTTCATGGTTGGGATAGGATTTAGATTTAATTTTTCTTCCTTATTGGGTTTGAGTACCCATAAACATGTCCTAAACCCTAAACCCTAAACCCTACACCCTAAACCCTAAACCCTAAACCCTAAACCATGTTACCCAACTATAACAAAGGTTCGTTGCCAAGGCCCGGCTGGAAGAAACTCCTGGGCTTTTAGGGCTTTAGGGGTTTAGGGTTTTTCGGCTTTAAGGGCTTTAGGGCTTAAGGGCTTTAGGGGGCTTAGGGCTTTAGGGCTTTTTGGTTTTAGGGCTTAGGGGTTTAGGCTTTTACGTTTTAGGGCTTAGGGTTCCTTTGAGGGTTCCTTAAAGGGAACTCTGGGGGATCTATCGGGTTTTAAGGTTGAGGGTTGTGGGTTTAGGGTTTAGCGTTTATGAGGATTAAGAAGCTTAGGGCTTGGAATTGATTGTGAAGGTAAGGTTCTAGAATAGCCGAGAAGATTACGTATAGTAGGTTATAGTAAGGTGTACAATATATCATACCAGGATAGGGTAAACTGCAGTCTATTGTGTGCTCTAGCAGTTCTAGAGTGCTTTCGACTGGGATTTCTGTCAGGGCGTCTCAGGTCAGGGTTTTCATAAGAATATCATCGGGTATAAGGATGCATTATAAGGCCAAAGCTTCTGGCGTTTTATAAGGTCAGATTTCCAAGCAGGGTCGCCACACTACCGGCATTTGGCTACTGGACCGCCGAGGAACATGTGGCACATTAATAACTGACTTTCAAAATCACAACATAATGATATCGACAGAGATGATCACTGAAGTCTACAATAGATCACCTTGTATCGTAAGAAAATTTCTTCAGTTTGTGAAGACAACCAAACCCCTAACAGAAAAGTCTAAAGCGCCTTTACTTTAAAAAAATTCGACTTTCCCGGGACCGTGGCTCGCGTCGCAGAAAGGTCCGGAGCCCCAGCTTTTGCCAGTGGTGACGCGCCGGATCTCGTTCCTGGGCTGGTGCATTGCGAATCCTAGCGAGAGTAGTGTTGTAAAATGTTATATCATTTAAATATCAGAACAGAACAGATATGACTATTGCAAAATTACTGTACGACAAAGAAGACTATTTTTCAACCGCGGCCAAGAGCTCTTGAGCCCGGCAGCCACCACTGCTTTGAACTGACGGCTCCTTCGGGCCACAACGCGCCAGGCCTCGATCCAGTCTGTCATACCTGACTTGACATAACAAGGGGTTACTATAGGGGCCTGAACAATTAGAATAGGGTGTTGGGGCCCAGTGTACTAGAACTTTGAGAAGGAACCCCCAAAATAGTATAGGTAATTACTAAAGCCCTCTTTTAGGATTTGGGAATTTGGGTTTGGGAGTGACTTCGGGAGGTGGTTTCGGGATTACGGATACGATCCTTCTCGGCCCTGCCGGGCTTCCAGAGGTTCCCTGCCAGGGGTCCACCTGTGCCCGCCTTTTAGGGTTTTAGGGTTTAGGGCCCCATGGGCCCCCCTCCCCCGCCGCTCCCCTCTTGCGCCCATTTCTTTGCTGTGGCTGGCAGCTCCACTCGCTGGGTGCGGACGGCATTCTGGCTCCTGCAGCCTGTCCTAGAAAGCTTCAATAATAGTAGTCCTAAACTGGTTCTTATTGTAATTCTTATCCTCTGGGAGTTTCCGACAATAGGGGACCCTAATATAGTACCCTAAATAGCGTCTTTTTTGGGCGGGGGTCCTTATTATAGTTGTAGTATAATCGGCCCCAGGACCCTGTTCTAGTTCAACAAGATAGATTCAGTACGGCCCCCATACAGTAACAGTCTATCATAGGGCTACTATTTAAGGGCCTTATTTATCTACATTATGAATATTATCCAACTGTTACTGAGTGGGGGCAGTACCCAAAAGATACACAAGATACCAACTTGTCACAACACTTCACCGCCTCTTTGGGCTCTCAGGGAGCTTCGCATTGAAGGGTGTGAGGGCATCGGGGCAAGTAGACTGGCCTGGTTTAAAGATTTTGGGCACGACTGGCCTTCAGGCTTTGGGCTCGAGGTTGAAAAATGCTACAGCTTAAAGCTCCCAGTCTCGAAGTAATGTAGGAACCTGATGAAGAAACCTCGGGCCTTTATGCCAATATTTGGGTTCCTTATATGAATATAACTATCCTATATCGGGGGTTATAGGCCCAGGGTTTCTTAATCAGGTTCCTACATTACACGGTTTGAAGAGATTCCGGAGTCAATTAGAGAGGGCGCCAGCACAACAGCAGTCGCTGGTACATCAAGGTTTGCCTCGTCGCAGGGACGGCGCGGAGCGCTAATAATTTGGGGTTCCCTATCCAGCTGAGGTGCTGTTCTTACACGGGGGAGGGCATCTAAGACCTTACCTTTGGGATTGTACGATCCCCCAAAACTGCTAAAGATTGCTGAAATACGAAGCAGACACTGTGGTTGGCGTTGAACCAGAAGGCATTGCAGTCAGTTTCAGTGCAGCACCAATCCGTGTCCAGCATGTGGTTGTCCAGCCAAACGGCCACGCCAGCTATCTGCAAAGCCTCACAACGACTCACACACACCGGCACTGGGCAGGCACGGATTCATGAGGTCACAGATGGCTACACGTACATACCTGGGATCTGTGGCCCTGGGTCTTTTGAAACTCACCACGAGTTCTGCTAATCATAATGCTCATCTGCCGGGAGTGCATCTCACCCGCTCCATAGCCACTTGAGGCAACTCGCAACTTCGCCGATTTTTTGCCCAGCCATAACCGTGGACTGCAAGAGCTTACAAACTGCTGCAACCCTGTATTACATTGAAGAATTGGACCAATACCAACCAGAACAAAAACAGTACAAAGTACGCTGCCATTGCTGCTTGTTCCACGGCGACCACTAGTAAGAAAAGGCGGGGCTGAGAAGGTGAATGAACATTGTCGGAAGGGGGACCGGGATTGGGGTCAGGCAAGAATTGGCATTTGCCCGACGAGAAGACCTTGGAAAGGCTGTCCAATCACACCGGCTGCAGCAGACATGGCATCACGGAATATTCGATCGATCGCACCACATGATGCTTGAACGCCCTACGGTGGACCCTAGCCTGTACATCTCAAACGCGTAATGGGGCTTCGGGCCTAGGAGAGCCCAGCGTGAAGTGATTGGACACACCCGGCTACACGACGCGCACCAGAAAAACACATTCTGCACACGTGCACGAGAACACCACTTCATAAAGCGCCTGTCGTCAAGCGGAAGTGGTCGGCCACATAGAATAGGGTTTTGGGCTCCTTTACAGTATAGTTATAATAAGGAACCCTGAGGAATACTGTTGCTAATCATTCAGGCTTCTATATTACACCGCCTCGATCACTGCATCCATGACATCGAGGGCGCGCTTCCCCAGCAGCCTGGGCCACGCACAAGTTTTGAGTCCGAAACCATTGGCTCGTAGCAGTGATGGTAGCATGTTCATGAGCTGCCTAGAGATCCTGTGCACCCACACTCTGAAACGACTACATCGGGCCTAAAGCCTAATCCCCAAACCCTAACTTTCAGACTTCAGAGCTCAGAACTTGATCGACAACTAGCAACGGCACTCTTCGGATGCGATGAGAGCTTGCGAAACGATAAGTAAGGGTTTCGCTTCAAAAAATGAGGGGGGGATACCTGGTTCAGAGACCCTTTATAACAAGGATCCCAGCCTACACAGGGTTCTATATGAACTCGGGCCTCTTCCAAAACGCCACAAGCGGTTGAACCACACACCCTAAACTCAATTAGCTACAGATCCCCGTCACCCCAGATTGATGGGAGGCCAAAAGGGGGGGTTGAGATTCTTGGGCTATAGGGATTCCTTAATATGAACCCCATTATGGGAACCCAAAAATCCCTACTATACCCCCATAGGCTGAAACCCCTTTTGGCCTCCTATGACAGATGAGCCACTGTGGGTTTGCGGCCACTCTCCGGTTCGCAACGGTCGGGTTGGTGAGCACCGTGTTGACCTATCCCAGAGAGCCCAATACCCCTTAATTCAGGAATATACACTAAAGGGTTCCTTTAAGGGGTCTATAAGGGTTCTATGAGGGAAGTAAGGAACATACCTTTACATCATCATATGAATCCCCTTATAATTTAAGGCATATTCCTTAATTAAGGGGTATTGGGCTCTCTGAGTACAGTTGCCGGTTTCCGAAGCTTTTCGCTGTCAAGTTTGCGGAATGATAACTTGGAGTTGCTAGACAACCGCTCGGCATGTCCGTGAACTCTGAAGGGGAGTGGCACTGGCGAACGACCTGTAAAGCTCCTGTCACAGTGGTTTTTGGAGAAGGTGGTGGCGACCTCGATGTCGGGACTTTGTAAACTTGAACCTGTGTTTCTCCCAGGCACAGAGCAGTCCGCAGGGGTGTCTAGCCGCGATGGGTGAGTTGAAGTGGCTGTCGTTGATGGCAGTACTGTCCAAACTGTGCGGCTGGGGATAGGTAAATAGCAGGCTGCCTTGTTTGAAGATACCTGCGTGTGTATTCGTGGCACCAGGCACCGATAATTGAAGAATTCGTTCACTAGCGCCGGTCCAGACTCCAACGTTTCATAACGAATTTTGAGCTTGAGTTCTTGGGGTAGTGGAAATGGTCCAAAGCCCCAAACTCTAAAGCCCTAGATCGACCCTACACCGTAAAACCCTGAACCTCCTCACTGGCCGTGAACCCGCAAACTTTCGTCCAAGACATCACAGCCCAAGTACTTCGCCTCATGCATTCTAACCGACCGGTCTCCGAATGCACCCAGTTTTTGCCTGTCAACCCCACGCCCAAGTTTAGGGGGTTTAAGAGTTTAGGGGATCAAGGCGATCAGGGTGCTGGGGGCTTCCGTTTAGTTGTTTAGGGTTTAGGGTTTAGGGTTTCACTTTCGGACTCACCAGGTTCATGGTTCGCAATCGCTTAACCATAGGACGACATGCACCCGGCAAGCGCCAACATGCACCACAGCAAGGGCGTGAAATCCAAAAGAAAGTCAATGATGTACTGCCAAGTAAAGATGGACCCATGTAGTTCCTTATCCTTACGTGCATTTCTAGGTACATCCGACTGTGCTGAAGGCATCAAGTGACTTTAGCAAAGCCAGCAAAGTGACCCACGCGCAACCTGACCCCAGGAAGGGGTTCAGGGATTTTGACCCGATGGCTGGGTTCTCTCTCTCTCTCTCTCTCTCTCTCTCTCTCTCTCTCTCTCTCTCTGCCGTGCCATCATCAAGAGTCTCGCATTGCAAGGGCACGAAAATCGCAGGCTAGAATATCAGCAGGCATAGCGCGAACGCTGAACCTCTTGCTAAGGAATCCAATTTAAGTTACCATAATAGGGAACTATAGTACATGATATGGTTTCCTTATTATGGCACCTTAAACTAAATCCCGTAACAGGAGCCCAGAAGGATACTCATGAGCTCCCAGGGGCATCCCAGGTGAGGCGCACCACGTTGAAACCTTCCAAAGCACACAAACCACGCACAAAACGGCTCAGAGCTTCGGGGGCTTTTGGGTTTTTTTGGTCCCGTAGGTAGGCATTCCTGGCCTTGGTAGGTTTAGGGTTTTGGGTTTATGGTTTAGGGCTTAGGGTTTAGGATTTAGGGTATAGGGCTTAGGGCTTAGGGTTTAGGGCTTAGGGTTTAGGGTTGAAGGTTTCGGTTTTGGTGCTTCTGACGTGGGCTTTTTCTGCGGTGCTGGGTGTTGGCTTCTGGTGATACCGACCTGGCTGTACCCAGCCGGTCCTCGTACTATAGGGGCCTTAATAGTTACCTACACTATTTTGGGGGTTCCTTTTTATAGTTATAGTATAATGGGCCCCAAAACCCTATTCTAACTATTAAAGCCATCCTGGACGGGCTCTAAGTCTCAGAGTCCCATGAACCGCAAGGCAGTGAAGCATAATCGCCCCAAAACCCCCAAGCTCTCTCTCTCTCTCTCTCTCTCGCGGGCTCGATCGCCCGGCACTGCTAAAGAGCACTGCCACTCATGATGTTCATAAGAGGCTACGAGCTCCAGGTATTCATGGCAAAATAGCTGACCGTCAACCGCACAAGAGAACCGCACAAGAGAACCTACAACGTAATCTTGAAACCCTCAAACTGCTAGAAGGGCTTGTATATACTCGGCTACTACCAGAGTTGCTGTAACAGGGTTGCTATTAAAGATCGGCTGCTAAAAGGGCTACTGACAAAACGGTCCATGTCAAGGCTTCGGGTCGCAAACCCCCAGATGGGCGTTTCCGAAAAATTGGGGTACCTTTTCTGGGATCCTTAGAACAAGGATCCTAGTATTTCGACACACACACACACACACTCGCTGATGCAGGCACGGCTTCGAGGTCCCACTCCTATTTAGGGTGCTATATTAGGGTCCCCTCCCCTATTTGGGAGTTTCCGAAAATAGGGACCATAATATAGCATCCTAAAAAGTAGGATCCTTATTATAATAAGGACCCCAAAATAAGGTACCCCTTATTTTCGGAAACTCCCATATTGGGGTCTATAGGAGATCTGGGGTATAGAGCCCTTATAAATCCCTTAAAGGAACCCCCAAAATCGTATAGGTAAGTATAATAAAGGCCCCGATTTCCGGAAACCCCCAAACCCTAAACCCTATAGATCCCTTGTAGGAACCCTTAAAGGAACCCTTAAGGGTTTAGGGTTTAGGGGGTCCCCGATTTCCCGAAACCCCCATCGCAAGTCGCCTTGCTCTCGGATCCTCGTCGCTATCGATGCCAAGGGCCTCACAGAGAGGACTTTGGCTTTCAGGGCTTCTTGGGTTTAGGGCTTAGGGTTTAGGGTTCAGTTTAGGGGTTTAGGGGTTTAGGGGTTAGGGCGGGAGAGTCGGGTTTAGGGCTTGCGGCGGTGAAGGGTTGCACCTCTCGTTCAGAGGCAAATAACGAAGTATACAGTGTGTGGAGCTTAGGGTTTTGCAATGCTTTAAAGCTTCTTCTACTTGTTTCCTTTAGTGCTAGGAAACAGATAAGAGGAAGTTGCCGCAAAATCTTCTGGCTTTCGTCATAACCATGTCTAGGATGTCGGGAAGCCGCCCAAAAAACATCAACAAAACAAACCCTGAGTTTTCATCATGAGGCATGTCCTATTACAGTCCCTACTTTGTCGTGGCTTTGTGTTACCAAAGTTACTCAAAAGGGACCCAGACATCATCTGAATCTGCAAGCCTTTTTATTATGCCCGTCTTCCAAATTTTAGAACCTTCAACCCTGAACCAAAAACCCTGGCGCCTCAATCCTACAGCCCCACCATCCAAACAAAACTCTACGCAAGGCCAAGGCACGCCCGGTCCAGACCGGAGGGCACGTGGCTGATGTGCGCGCCAGGCCAATTCACGCCTTGCAGCCGCACCTCAAATTGCAGGAGCCTGCAAGTCTCAAACCAAAGGTCTATAGGGTTTGGGGTTTAGAGTTTAAGGTTTAGGGTTTTTAGGGGTTCTTTTTTGTGAAGATTTAAGGTTCGGGGCTTGCAGGTTTCGGGTTTAGGGCAGGTGGCTCTGAATTTGGGTTTCAGTGGATCGGTATCGGGTCGGGGTTTGAGGTGGCGAGGATTCTATAAGCAGATCTCGCAAGATCAAAGCCCAGAATCAAAGCTTGACTGAAGTCGCAAACTCGCAAACCCCAACACCCAAACCCGGCAAGCCCTAAATGCCCTCAAACTCCCAAACTCAACAGAACCTATGTGTAGAATGACACTGAATGCCGCGAGGCCGAAGCCATCGACCAAAACGACACCCCAAAGCCAACCCGAAACCCTAAACCTTTGAGACCTCCCCCAAACCCCAAATTCCCTGAATCCCTAATCCTCTCTCTCTCTCTCTCTCTCTCTCTCTCGCTCTCTCTCCCAGGCATTCGAAACGTCAAGCCCGGCTCCCTAATCCTAAACCCCTAAACCCCAAAACCCCAAATTCCCTAAATTCCTAACTCCCTAAATCCCTAATCCTAAACCCCTAAACCCCAAATTCTCCAAATCCTAAACCCCAAATCCCTAAATCCCTATAATCCTAAACCCCTAAACCCCAAAACCCCAAAACGCCCTAAAGCCAAGGCACCCTCTCACCCCGGGCATCTGCCAGGATGGACCCACGAGCGAACAGAGGCCCAAGGAGCTCCTCCAGCGCTTTTTTGAGGGTTTTTTTTTTAATCTTTTTTGGGTGTCTGTTTTTTGTTTTTTGTTAATCTTTTTGGTGTGGTTTAGGGTTTTTTGACACTCACTCTCGGACAAGCCTGGCAAGGTCTGCAGAAGTAGGGTTTAGGGTTTTAGGGTCATGTCTTACAGCTCAGCAGCCTCCAGACTATCATACTGGTTTTTGAGGGGTGGTTTTAGGGGGTTTTTAAGCTCCTTTTCATGTCTGCCCAACCATCTAAGCTCAAGAGGGGCTTCGGATTTGTTTTTTAGCTCCTTTCCTGCCCACCTAGTTGAGCTGCGGGGTTTCGGTTCCAGGGCTTCGATTTTACGGGTTTTTCCCCGCTACTTAGCAAGGCCCGTTTTGCAGGGTAACTTCGAGGCGAACGAGGGTTAAGGGTTTGGGGCTTAGGGCTTTGGGATCAGGGAGTAGGGTTTTGGGATTAGGGATTATGATTATGGATTAGAGATCAGGGATTAGGGTTTCGGGATTTGGGATTAGGGACTAGGATTTGGGGTCTAGGATTTGTTGTTCCGGCTTGGGGGATTCGACTCGCACACTCGCACACAGGCAGGCACGGCTTCATGGGGGTCGCTACTGTGGTTTGAAGTTTAGGGTTGAGGGCTTAGGCTTCTTGAGTTGTTATCCCTGTTTCGAGGTTTCATGGCTTGGTTTTAAGGTTTCGGGGACTAAGCTCCTTTTCAACTGTGGTAGTATTCGGGTTTTTCTGGCGGTCTACACACCGGCGCCTTGACAAGTAGATAGTGGTTTAAGGGGCATTATAGCGTAATTATGGAGGGGCAAAAAGGGTAGACGATTAGTACATATCATTCTTATTACGTTCTCGCTCTCACACCGCCTTTCTGAGTTCGAAGTTTGGTCTGTCTGAAACAGACAGTTCAGGGCTAAAGGCGGCTTAAGGCCGATACTGCAGGACGTATACAAGTTTTCTGGTAGTCGTCGTCGTTGTGGTGGTCGTCGCAGTGGTGGTAAAGGTAGTGGCAAGTGGTGGTGGCACGTAGTGGTAGCGGTAGCGGCAGTGGCCGTGGTAGTAACTACCACTGCAGTGGTACTGGTGGTAGCAGCGGGCGTAGCAGGTGGCAGTGTTAGTGGCAGTCGTCGTCGCTGTCGTTGTTGCTCTTCTGAGTCCTCCTAGGTAGCCGTAGCTGCAGCCGCAGCCGGAGCAGTAGCAGTGGCAGTGGCAGTGACAGTGACCACAGCAGTGCAGCAGCAGTAGCAGCAGCAGCAGCAGTAGCAGTAGCAGTGGTAGACGTCGCCGTCGCTGTGGTTGTCGTTGCGGCAGCAGCAGCAGCAGCAGGAGGACGTGGAGGTGGCGGTGGTGGTGGAAGAAGAGGATCATGAATCAAAGCTGTGACTGCTTCGATGTCTCAAGATTCAGACAGCTTCAGACCTTCAGGGTTCAGGGTTTTGATATTTAGGGTCAACACTGTTCTGCTTGCTACCAGTCTTATGCGTCTTCCCAGGTTTTGAAGGTTCTTAGAGGGTGATAGGTGCTTCGGTAGGTGTCAAAAAAGTCGACTCTGGATTTTATGGCATATGGCTTTACCAGGGCGCCTACGGCAAGCAGTTCGATGACCTCAACTGGCCGTTTGAGCAGGTGTTGCTTGTTGCCGTGCTCAACTAGCACCCCCCCCCCCAAATGAAGCTAACTTTCATCGCACAAATAAATCACGGCATAGCCCGGGCATCCAGCAAGTTGTTTCACTGCAATGGTTGATGCGCGCCGTAATGTTTAACGAAAAGGTTTCATGCATTGTTCGGCAAATTGCGTGACCGTTACGGCTTTCAGGGACAGCTTGTGATGAAATTAACGGATATTGGAGTCTCTGGGCAAGCTTGTTCGGTATATAGTCCTTGTGCTCCGTGGCCCGGGTGCTCGTAGATGCGCCTGCCTGCCGTTTCAGGGGCGCTGCTAGGCTCGGCTGGTTGGGTCCTGGGTGGAGCTTGGGGTAAGAGAAACACAAAACTACGAGAGTAACATAGGGGCGTTCAGGGTTTAGGCCGTTGCCTGTCTTACTTCAAGGCCCATGGGAACAAAAACAAAACATGTGCAGGTATGCCTAGAAGTATATAGGAGTAATTGTAGCTAGAGTTCCTCGCTAGAAGACGTTGGTCAGCGCTCGTCTGGCTCCTGACTATTGCTTCTACTGCTTCGACTATACCCCCCTTAGAACCATGATAAAACTAATAGGTTTAATATTCTCGTGGGTTTTATATGAACAAAAATATAAAAATAATTCCTAAGGAGACTATAATCGATGCCTTGCAAGTCCAGCGCATCACCAGTTCGTGGTTCCCCGGACACTGCGCTGAAAACCTGACATCAGAGGCTTCGGAGATGGCAACACATTGGGGGTTCCTTTAAAGGGTTCCTTCAAGGGGTCTAAAAGGGATCCATAATAGGGTTCAGGGTTCTAGGCCTTACCATTATTTAAGTTACCATAATGAGGATCTATAATACATAACATGGTTTCCTTTCTTTTGAGGCTTCGGAGATGGCAAACTTTGACGGCCGTGAGAGGGTTTCAGCTTTCAGGTCCAGGGGTGGTTGCTTTTGGGGGTTTAGGGTTGAGGCTTTAGGTTTTGGGGTTTAGGGTTGAGGCTTTAGGGTCTATGGTTTAGGGTTGAGGGTTTAGGGTTGAGGGTTTAGGGTTGAGGGTCTGCTCTTGGGATTCAGGATGTTTCTCTGTCTTTCGGATTTACGGTACTGTATGTCTAATTGCGGTTCAGGGTCACTGCTCGCAGTCTAAACTAAACAAGAATTTTCTCGGAATCCTGCAGGGGGTCGAACATGTTGTGGATAATCTTGAAAATCCTTAAGCCCCGAACAAACCCCGAACCCTGAACTGGAGCGAAGCCACGGCACTCCGACCAGTCCACTTCACATGTCTGTTGCAGGTGACACCTGTGATTCAGGGCGTTTGGGATGGAGGGCTTAGGGGGTTTTAGGGTTTAGAGGAAGCCTTTGAGAGTTGGAGGGATTTGAAGGGACTTGGTTAGGGCTTGCTTTGGGGTCTAGCGCTTCGGGTGTAGGGCCGAAGGTTCTGCTGGCGGGTGGGCAGATTTTGCCATATTCGCATAAACCTCCACACCCCAAGCAACAAACGCCCGAGCCGTCTAAAAACCCTAAGCCCCAGACAACAACTAGAATCTTCCTTCAGAGGGTGTGTGGGGAGCAAACTCCCAAAGTTTCAAGTCCAGAGCGAGGCTCAGGCATTGCAATGGAACGACGTCTGCCTTAGGGCCTAGGGCTGTCCCGTCTGCGGCCTGCGGCTACAACGTGTGATGTACGTGTAGCTTTGAAGTTTAGGATCTCAGTCATTGCAGCCATAGCACTGTGGCCAACTCTCCCTGAACATGTTGAGAAGCATCTTCAACTAAACATCCCTTCCCAGTCTGAAGCTTTCGTCTAGCAGCAACCTTTGAAACCTAAGCCCTGAAACCTGTGACCCTACACCTTAAACTCCAAATCCCCCTCGTAATCCCAGGCCGGGTCGCTTCTGCAGGAGATGCTTCTGCACATCCACGCCGCAGCTCTTGTGACGGGCGAGGTCGGCGCCACAAACGCGGTCCTGTTTCCCAAAATACTCAACTCTGCATTCAAAACAAACATGTAAACCCTACACTTTCCGATTTCCTAAACTCTCCGGCCTTAACCCAACACTCTAATTCCTGAACGACTAACCCACACACTCTAAGCCATGACCTCTCATAAAACCTATACGGCCTACGCCCTGAGCTCTGAACCCTGGCTTGGCCCCGTCTCGTCTCCGGCCGCGAGTTCGGGCTCGATTTGAAAAACCCGGGACTTTGAGGGTTCAAGGTTTAGGGTTAAGGGTTTCCTGAATCCTGTGAAAACTGAAGCCTCTAACTGCAACAAGCAAGGTCGTAACAACCAGTGATATGTCATAACCCTTAAACCAGGGTCTTGTCAGGGTTTAGGTTTAGTTTAGGAATCCTTCTAAGGGTGTCTTTGCTTTAGGGTGAAGGGCTGAGGGTTCAGGGTTTCGGGTTGAGGTCGTTTTAGGGTTTAGGGTTTCGGCTCCCTCAAAGGATCACCAGAGACTCTAATACCCTTTAATTAAGGAATATACCTTAAATTATAGAAGGATCCCCAATATATTACTTAAGGAATATTCCTTTAATAAGGAATATACCTTAAGGTATAGTAGGATCCCTAACATATGATTTAAGGAATGTATCCCTTACTTAAGGGATATTGGAGTCCCTGGGTCAAGGGGGCTCCGTGTTTCAAGGAGCTCGGTTCCTCTTCGAGGAGTCGCAGCGGGGAAGATGAGTGAACGCCCAGCGACGGAACGCCAGAGTTTTAGGGTTCCTATGAGGGTTCCGAAAAGGGTATTGTCCTATTGTGGGGGGTGCTATGAGGGTTCCTGTACGGGTACTATAAGGGTACTATACAGTCAGGGTACTTTCAGGGTATTATAGCTCTGCATCCGAGCTGAAAGCCCCAAAATGCTTGACCCGGTCAGACCCTGCAACCCGCCCGGGTCCGGACCCTTAGGGCATTTACCAAGACACATAAGTTCAGGCTTTTTTCCCTCTAGGGTTTAGGGTTTTGGGTTTAGGGTTTAGGTTCAGGCTTTAGGGTTTAGGGTTTTTTGACACTCACACTCGGACAAGCATGGCAAGGTTTCGGCGCTCACACTCGGACATGGCAAGGTTTAGGGTTTAGGGTTGCGAAGCACCAGGAGGAGGATAAGAAATCCCGGTCAACTTTTTGAGGAGGATAAGAAATCCCGGTCAACTTTTTGACAAAAAAACAATCTCCAAACCCTTGGACCTGCTTTAGCTGGAGCTGACCGGACCCCTCCTCCACAGGGATGTCGCCGTAGTAGGCGAACGGCACATCCGAGATCACCTCGCCCTGTGTCCTGCGATGCCAGTTGGGTTCGGGGCTTCGAGGTTAACATCACTGTCGTTCTGCCTTCTATGACTAAGTCACTAAGTGCTGTAGATTGTAGTGGTCCCCGTTTGTTATGCCTGGAGCACTCCTTCCTGCTTTTTTCGATGACCACTACGCCAAATCCTGGATTTGCTCAGTGCCTTCACTTTGGAAATTGTAGCATCGCTCTTCCCGCTCTACGTAGACCCTGAACTATCCCCGCTACTATGATTCCAACGGTCTCAAGCCCTCTTGGCAGCGTCGAACCCGGCTCCAAACCCTGAGGAGCTCCGGGGCTTCGATTCGAGGCTGGGGAATAATGGCCGCCGAGGCTTTGGCTCTGGGGTTCAGGGTAAGTAATATAGGGGCCTGAGTTATTTTTCAATATGGTGTTGGGGCCATTCTACTCTGTTTATAATAGGGAACCCCAAAAATAGTATTGATAGTTATTTAGGCTCCTACATTTATTTGCACCACCTGAGGTACACCCATCCCGTATGACTCGAGAACCGTGGAGCCTAATGTCAGTAAAAACCTTTGCAACTGCAAGAGGAGTTGGGGTACATCATCTAGCCATAAGAAAGAACCTCAAGAGATAATTCTAGAAGTTATCCCCAAACCCTGAAGCCTACACCCTAAACCAAACCCTAAACCCTGCTGGCGGGGTGCACATCACAGGCGAGAACGGCCGGCTGGCCGACTGGGACAAAGCAGCAATTCAGCTCCTGCGCAGCGCCTGCTTCGGGCTGCCCAGAGACTCCAATATCCCTTCATTAAGGAATATATATATATATATATATATATATATACCTTAAATTATAGTAGGCTCCCTAATATATTATTCAAGGTATATTCCTTAATCAAGGGATATTGGAGCTTCGGGCTGAGCAGGGGCAAAGCAAAGCGCCGCACAGAAGAAGCAAAGGAGAGGGATTTAGGGTTTGGGGGTTTAGGGGTTTGGGGGTCTAGGGGTTTGGGGGTTTAGGGGTTTGGGGTTTTTTGCCACCCGCCCAGGCTTAGGGTTTGCGGCAAAAGCTGTCAAGCACTCGAAACGTTTTGGACCTGCGACCCCTTGAAAATTGGATCCAAGTCCGGCCAGCCACCTGCCACAAGGATTTGAGGCAAACGTGCCAGCGCCAGGAATGCAAGAGCCGTCAAGCCGTGCATGGCCGACATACTCTAAGGATGTTGGCTAAACTGTTAGAGATCTTAAACCACTCCAAACTAAGCCCGCGTCAGGGTTGTGAGCCTGAGGAGTTGACGCTGAAGGGCACGGGCTGCTGAGGAGAGGGGATGTCGGGTTCGCTACGAGGTTGGATGTTGAGGCTAGGGCTTTTAAGCTAAGGCTTAGGGCTTAGGGGCTATGCTGTACTATCCTGGGTTCGTCGGGGAAGGAGCTCCGTTGCACACCGTGGCCTTAATGATTGGACAAGCGCTTTGGGGAATATTAATATTCAAAACAAGTACAATAAGGAACTCAACAAAAGATTGCATTGGTAATTATGGTGGACCCTCTATTCATATCTCCACCAAAACAGCTGCAGAAAGGGGCCGAGCAGGGTTGAGACGGTGTCAGGGTTTGGGACGTGAGCTTTTACAGCATAAACCAGTCATATACATAGTGGTGATGATAAGAACTCTATGAACAAGACTAAAAAGAATAGATTATAAGAACTTTACGAATAAGGATAACAAGAATAGATGATAAGAACTCTAGGAACAAGAATAACAAGAATAGGAATAGTAGTCATGGTAACAAGGCTTTCTTGAACCTCAGGGGTGGATTCTGGGTCACAGGGGGCCGACAGGCCCGAAACCGATGGAAGCTTCGGGCTGCCAAGGGCACGTGGGTGGTTGTCAAAATTGGGGTCCCTAGGGTTCCTTTAAAGAGTTCCTTAAGGGGATCAATAAAGGTTCTATAAAGGGTTTAGGGTATGATGTGGGTGGTTGTCAAGATTAGGGTCCTTTTTTGGGTTCCCTAAATAATAGCTGCTGTATTATAATAGGGACCCAAAAAAGGATCGTAATTTTGACAACCATCCATGTGTAGTTCTTAGGCTCTTGAGCTTAAGCTAGGGTTCTAGCATAGATTATGGGTTTAGGGTTTTGGGTGTAGGGTTTAGGGTTTAGATTACGTATGGGTTTAGGGTTTAGGGTTAAGACAAGACAGGCTTGCCTGTCCTGAGGTCCAGAAATCTTGTGGGCTTCGGCGGCTAGCCATCTGAACTGTTACGGCCGTCGGCTCCACGCGTTTAGGCCCTACCCAGAACTATAACCTAACCCATAAACTCTTTGAGCAACTCCTTCAACCCGGCTGCATCCGAACATGACACAACACAAAAACCTGCATTCGACAGGTATGTAGCTCTGCCTTGAAAACTGCTCAACCGAAGAAAACCCCACAATCTCGACCCCCGCCCAGTGATGCTTCCGCCCCCCATGTCCTGCATCAGGCGGGGACAGACCAGGCATCCTCCAGGCGATTCCCAACGCTCTCTTGGGATCGAGTTGGAGGTACCGCTGGCTATAAAATCGAAACTGTTGATAAAATCCTGGAAATGAAGACTTCCTGAAAAAGGGTGGAGGCAAAATAGGTGTGGGGTTTCGGAGTTCGGGTTCGGTTTTCCGACTTGTCAACAAAACCAGGCGCCTCCTTTCGAACCTCACGGCCCTGCCACTCCGAAACCTCAAATCCAAGGGGAAAAGGAGGGGCCCTTAATTAGGACCCCTAGGTATATACCCTCAATATAGCTGTTACGTAGCCATCCTTTAGCCCATTTTTGGGTAGGGGTCCCCATTAAGGGTTCCTCCTTGTCCCCTTTGATCAAAGCCCTACACACCCGATCGAGCGCCTCAGAGTCTCACACCCGAAACCAGTGTCTGCTACTGGACTCAAGTCTAGCCAGACCCGAAACCCTCATGTAGGGGCCTAAATAATCACCTATACTATGTTGGGTGGTTCCTTGTTATAATTTTTCTACCATGGGCCCCAAGACCCATTCTATGTATTATCAAGGCCCCTACATTGAACCCTTAGCCCGCAACCCAAAAGCACGAAAGCCGAGCTCGCCACCACGGAGAGGCTATCGGGCGCATGAGGCTCAGAGCTTACAGTACCCAGAGACTCCAATATCCCTTAGTTAAGGACTATACCTTACATCATAGTAGGATCCCTAATATGATTTAAAGGATATTCCTTTCTTAAGGGCTGTTGGAGTCTCTGGGTAGGGGCCCCTTAAGGTCTGGGACATCTTGAGTCGGGTCTTCGGATGATAAGACGCTTTAGACATGGCCTAGGGCTTTCTCACTGTGGAGTGTTGGGTTCTTTTTGTGGTGTATGATAGTAGAACTAGTGTTCATGCGAATTCTGGGTCATCTTGCTAACGGTCGAGGCTCGTTGACTTATGCCTACTCCGAGCTCGCGAGCATGCGACTTGATCCTTCGAATGTTGGGTGCTGTGACTGAGACATAGGGTTGAGCCGTAAGGCTTGGGATGTTGCGTTTTAGGGCCTTTTAGGGCCTTTTGAGTTTAAGGCTTGCTAGGATTGCAGGGCTTTGGGTTGGGTGAATCTCAGGGTGCTGTGGCTTGTGGTTGGGTACTCAACCAAGGTGGTTCAGTTGAACCCGCGGTTTGTGGTTCGGAGTTTGGGATTCAAGGTTTAGGGTGAGGGGTTGAGGAAGACTTCAAGGCTAACACTTGAGGGTGTGGATGGCTTTCGTGTTTCGGCGGGTTGCAGCCATTCTTAAATCATGCTCGTCTTTGATGGCGGCGACAGGCGACGGCCGGACTTGCCAAATTCAACATGGGGGGAGTGCTGAGTAGCCATGTTACCTGTGCAGTGTGCATGGTTGAGCTAAATCATGAGCCAAACAATGGAAGTCTCACAAACACCCCACAAAAAAATCTAGAACCACAACAAACCTCATCACACCACCTGAACCAGGGACCTGATCTCTGCCCCTGAGCTCTAAGTCATAGGTTTCGCGGTTTGGTGGTTTTCGGTTTAGGGTTTAGGGCTTAGGGTTTAGGGTTTCAATTTCAGACTTTTGGTTTAAGACGTCTGTGACGCTTACACTCGGACAAGCCCGGCAAGGTCTAAGATTTAAGGCTCCGGCTTTAGACAACCCTATGCCCGTTCTTGACCTTTGAGGCGCGGCGCAAGTCCCAGATCCATGTGCCCAATAGAAAGATCGTCAGATTATGTCACGGTTACGGGTTGGAGGTGCAGGGCATAGCATTTCTCCCACAAGCCCCCGATTCCCATGTTAGACCTCCACCCCTGAAGTCCCTGTTCCGTCAGTGCGAGAAGATGCTGGTTCAATCAAATAAAGCAAACACAGAGGCCAAGACCGAAAAGGGACCACTCTTGGTTGCAGAACCCTCCGAGCCCTCCGAGCCGTGCACCGCGCACCGTGGGGTGACAGGGGCTTCGCCGAAGGAGGACTGGCCGAAAACAGACTTTCAAGCACTGGTGGGTTGGGGAGCCAGGGGGCGAAAGACGTCGGTCCCTGAACCTGCACCCTGAGGTTATCAGGGACCGTAAGAAGATATAGTTGCTAACGAGTCAAACTCTTTTAAATATTGTATTTGAGGCATGTGACAAGAGAGAGCGTTCTCCGAAGAGCTTGAAGCCGCAAGGGACAAAGGAAAGTCACAAGTAACAGGGCTCGACCCCGACCCTAAACCCTTTTTGGAGCTCCCTCTGTCTGAAAATCCTGAAACACTGCACCCTGGAGCCGAAAACCCTGAGCCCTTTTAAACCTTGAACCTATGCGCTGCCGATCCTAAACCCCAAACCGAAACCAAAAATGAACGCAACGCGCCCCGAATGAGCTAAGTCCCGGCCTGGCCATGCGGGCCCGCTCCTCCTGCGCGCCAAGCCGCAGGTTACCGGATTTTGGGTGGCTTAAGGCTCCGGGTCGTCGTCGTCGTAGCTGCAGCCGCAGCCGTAGCCGAAGCCGAAGCAGTAACAGCAGCAGTAGCAATAGCAGTAGCAGCAGCCGTCGTTTCACACTGCTTTCATCTCATACAAGTTGCTGAACATAGTGGTTGAGCGGAAGTGACCTCAAAGACTACGCAAACCCAAAGTCTGCGGTAAGCTTACTGAGGGCATACAACAGCCACCCTCAGAACAAACGAAAGTCATCCCCCGTCCACCTGGGCAAACTGCTGGACGAGGCCACGGATCCCTGCTTTCCACTGAAAGCCTGATTCCACGAGGCTTGCATGAAAAAGGGCATGAGACAACGGAGTTGCGGGGGGCTTTGTTGAGGGGTCGGGATGTTCAACCTTCCGAGAGATTCGGAGAATGGTCCGCAGCGCGAGCTATGGCTTTCGACGCTCACACATTGACAAGCCGTAAACGAAGGGAAGGGCTTGCATGTTCCCATAATAGAAGACCTGCTAAGACATGTGATAAGTACGATGCAAAAGCAACTTCATTGTCGGCATTGCCGTGGCAAGCCCGGCTAGCGACACTTGGCTGCTCGTTTGCAACAAGAAAAAGGAACAGGCGGAGAGGTAGCAATACCCATAGGCCGCAGACCTTGGGATGAGGGCTCATCATCGTCCTCGTCCTCTTCGTCGGAATCGTGGCCCGTCATCGCCCTTGCGATTGGCCCGGGCGGGTTTCGATCTTGGGATGATAGTACCGGGGCCTTAATAATCAAAATAGAGTTTTGATGGTGCGTGTATTTATGTATGTATGCATCGATGAGTAGGTGTACGGATGCATTCGCGTATGTCATATTTGCCTGCATAACGTCATGCCATGTCCTGTCTTGCCATGTAGCGTAATGTGTGATGTATGGTAATGTACTGTACTGCACTGTACTTGAATGTACTGTATGATGTGGTAAGGCAAAGACATGTAAGGCACAATAGCGTCACAAAAGTTCAGGCAATGTAAGGTCATTAATGTGGTACCGTAATGCAAGGTAATGCAGGGGACTGTAAGGTCATGTATGGTAGTATACAGTAACTTGTAGTAATGCAGCGTAATGCAATGTGAGCTTTAGTGTACATTCAGAACTACGAAGGAGAAGGGCTCCACTTCGAGATGCGCATCTCTTCCGGTCCCCTTCTGCCTCGCCGCTGCAATGTGCCTCGGCAGCTGCAACTTCGCCAAGGGGACAGCCAAAACATCAAACTCCCAACCCACAGTTGGTTTATGAG